ATATTTACAATAAACTGTTAGTACTTAATTCAAATCCTAAGCAATTAATAGTAAATTTTTAAAAAAACTTTTATATAATGATTATTAATAACAACCAGCTCTCATATATAATTGACTAATTATTATATAATAAACTTATAAAGTATCAAGAGTATAAAGTTAAACAATCAGATTGACAGATTCGACAAACCATATTTATTATTTCTAAAAATTGATAAAATTCGGATTGGGATTAGGGTTTAGGGAAGATTGTTATATGGTTATATAATTACATAATTTGAATTATTTTATTTATTTTAAAAATAATAGTGTAAAGAATACAAAGACTAGCGGAAGAAAGAAAACAAAGAGAATGGAAGAAAGAAACTTACGCAGCCGAACAAAAAGAAACAAAGAGAACGGCCGAAAAAAAACATAAAAATGGCAATCTGAGACAGAGGAGCGGAAGGTTTGAGACTTTGAGTTGATGGAGTGAAGTAACCTTACCTTACATACATATATTACCCTACGAAAATTCTGGAAATCGAGAGGGATGAATCGCCAAAAGGCTTGAAGGAAGTTTAGCGGACATATTCCATAAGGCGTGAAAGGCGATGATTCAAAGAGGCACAAAAGGCGGCACTAGGCGAGGTAAAAGGCGCGCCTTATGGAATCTGCTGCGCCTGGGATGTTTGGATGCGATGAAGTCGTCGCCTAGAGGCGCCTCGCGCCTTTAAAACCAAGCCAGCAGATACTCCAATTGACCCCAATCAAAAGTTGGGAGATGTCAAAGATGGAGTTCCAGTCAATACCCAGCAATATCAAAGATTAGTGGGAAGATTGATATATTTGGCACATACAAGGCCAGATATTGCATTTGCAGTTAGTTTGGTTAGCCAGTTTATGCATAATCCAGTCCAGGAACACCTTGATGCTACTTACAGGATTCTAAGGTATCTGAAAAGTTGTCCAGGGAAAGGATTATTCTTTAAAAAGAACAACAGTAGAACTGTTGAGGCATTTATAGATGCAGACTATGCTGGCTCAATCACTAATAGAAGATCTACTTCTGGGTATTGTACCTATGTATGGGGAAATCTGGTGACTTGGAGAAGTAAAAAACAGAATGTAGTTGCTAGAAGCAGTGCTGAATCTGAATACAGGTCTATGGCAAATGGAATTTGTGAACTGCTTTGGATCAAAAGAGTAATTTCAGAATTAAAATTGAAGATGGATCTACCTATTAAGTTGTATTGTGATAACAAGGCAGCTATTAGTATTGCTCATAATCCTGTGCTACATGATCGTACAAAACACATTGAAGTGGACAGACACTTTATCAAAGAAAATATTGAAGTTGGAATTGTGTGCATACCATTCATACCTACTAAAGAACAAACAGCTGATATCTTCACAAAAGGATTGTTCAGACCAGTGTTTGAGTTACTTATAAGCAAGTTGGGGATGTATGATATATACTCACCAACTTAAGGGGGAGTGTAGAAAATGTTACATTTATTATTTATTATTAGATTGTGTACGTATGTAGTTGTGTAGATAAAATAGAGTTGTTAGACTGCATTTATTAGCAGATAAGTACTACAGTTAGATAGATCCTATTTTTAGGATCTGCACGGGGAGTTTGTTGTGAGTTTGTTGTGTGTACTCTGTATGTATATTCTGGCCGTATGGCTCATCATAATCAAGGAAGTTTTATTCCTAAAACTTACACGTAACCTTAGGGAAATTCCTACGCACTTGTGGTATTTCTCACTTACTCACTCCCCCCACACTCCAGAGTAAAATGGCTTTGCTGAACGTCGGCGTCTATAACTCTTAAATATTGGTCTTATGCTATCCTTACGGCAGTTTATCTCATTAATAGACAACCTGCCCTCTCTCTTTACTTCTGTACCCCATACGAAAAACTCTTCCAACAACCTCCTCGTTACAATAAACTTGTTATTTTTGGTGTCATTGTTCCCTTGATTACGTCCTTATAGCACTCATAAGTTAGAACCACGCTCTAAACCGCGTGTCTTTCTCGGGTAATGTGAGTATGTGACCCAGTGTTGTCAATCCCGGATAGCGGTGTAACACTTGAGATTTAATTTAAACGGATTAATAGTACTACTCATACCAACAAGGTGCATCTCCTTTTAAGGGAGCTCATTAACCAAGAACTCCAAAGTTAAGCGTGCTTGCACGGGAGTAGTCTTAGGATGGATGACCCCCTGGGAAGTTTCTCAGGGCGCGCACGAGTGAGGACAAAGTGCGCGGAAAAGGCTAGTGACGGTTTGTGAGGACAGTACTAGAGGTCAGAAGTAACTACCTCGGGGCCTACGGGGCCGGGGTGTTACAAATGGTATCAGAGCAACCCTGCGATAATGTGTTGATCCGTTGGATATCGGGCAGACACTTAGCGGGGGGGAAAGATTCTGGGATTTGATTGAGATTGGTTTACGGGCGCAACGAGGACGTTGCGTTCCTAAGTGGGGGTGATTGTAACACTTGAGATTTAATTTAAACGGATTAATAGTACTACTCATACCAACAAGGTGCATCTCCTTTTAAGGGAGCTCATAAACCAAGAACTCCAAAGTTAAGCGTGCTTGCACGGGAGTAGTCTTGGGATGGGTGACCCCCTGAGAAGTTTCTAAGGGCGCGCACGAGTGAGGACAAAGTGCGCGGAAAAGGCTAGTGGCGGTTTGTGAGGACAGTACTAGAGGTCAGAAGTAACTACCTCGGGGCCTACGGGGGGGTGTTACAAGCGGAGCGTAGCGGGCAGCCCCCAAAACGCTATAGCGGTATAGCGGATAGCGGGGTGACCGCTATTTAGAGTACTTTCAAATATAATGGATAAGTAACATATGTAATACATAAATATGAAAAAAAATACTACGTACTATTTGCCTTACTGGAAGCATATGTTTAACTACTGTAAGGTACATCTATTACCTTTAAGGTAAATCTATTACCTTTAAAGACATCTAAGGTCTGCAAAGAACTGAAACTAGATGGGTCACCCACCTAAATTACTAAGAAATACTGTTTAGTTTCATGAGCAAAACATAAGATGCTATTAATAATTAAAACATCTTAAGTCAAAACATTGAGTCAAAAACAAGGTTCTAGTGTAAGAACCTGTGGGCTTAAACAAGAGAGTAGACTGAGTAGACTCCATACAAGGTAGTCAAGGTACCTTGAGCTGTTATCGCAGAGGATGTTGCAGAAGAAGAAGTCATCGCAGTCTTAGCAGAGGTTCAACTGCGTATGTTTTGAGCGGTTAGCAGCCTTTGACGTACGTGTAAGGTTTTAAGTAGGTTAATATATTATTTTAAAATTCTATTTTACCCCTTGTATGTCTGCGCTAAAAAATTAAACCGTGAAATCCCTCCCAGAATGCACAGTAAACTCATTCCCATAAAATGTGCCGGGTTAGCGGCCGCGATAAGCATATGCGCACCACTGCGATAGCGGGCGCTATGGCCGCTACACCCAAACTCTACGCTAGAGCCCTCCCCGTAGCGCCTTCCATGTTAGCCGCTCCGCTTTTCCGCAATAGCGCGCTATTGCGCCGCTATTGACATCACTGATGTGACCAACAAAGTGCTTATCGTTGTCTTGATCGTAACCACTAACTGTGTCTTTGTTAGCAGGCATGTAGTGTTTGATGAGTCAGTGTTCCACTTTTCTACAACCACACCACTAGTCTCAAATATCACTATTGAAGTTGATCTCTGGCTTCAACCTTTCTTGTCTTACCTTCCTATTTCAGGTACTATGGTTACAAGGGCGTCTCTTTCTACTCATTCCTGGTATGTCACCCACCATTTCTACCCAATGTGACCTACACCCCATCTCCCCTAGACCCACACCACCACAAATTATTAGTTACCAATGTCGTCCCAAACAAAATCCTCCTGTCCCCACCCCTGATATCACTACCTCAACCCCACCCCTCGATGACCCACTGCTCAAACGTACCCACCCAATGACCCTTCGACCTCGTAAACATGCCCATATTGCCATTAACAACCCTTTACCTCATCATATAACTCCCACGTGTGCTTCTCAAGCTATGCAGGTACCAGAATGGCGGACGGCTATGTCAGTAGAATTTGATGCCTTGGTAAAACAAGGAACTTGGGACCTTGTTCCATCTTAGCCTGGCCAAAATATTGTGGGTTTCAAATGGATATATAGAGTGAAATATAAGCCGGATGGCTCCTTGGATCGCTACAAGGCCCGATTAGTGGCCACAGGTTTTCATCAGCGACCCGAGATTGATTATTCTGACACTTTTAGCCCGGTCATAAAACCAGTCACTATTCACATTGTCTTGACTATTGCTCTTTCTCATGACTAGCCGGTACATCAGTTGGACGTCAACAACGCCTTCTTACATGGGACTCTTCAAGAGGAGGTTTACATGGAGCAACCCTTTGGGTTTAATGATGGTTCTGCGTTTGTGTGTCGCCTTCAGAAATTCATTTATGGCCTTAAACAAGCACCTCGGGTGTGGTATCGGTCTCTTAGTCCTCACGCAATGATAAGCAAACAAAAAATAACAGCAATAAAAAAAGCAATATATAAATAAGCACACCCCTAAACATCAGAATGTCACACTGCCTGATGAGAGAGATCTTCGATTCTTTTTCCGACTCCTATTAGCGTGAACTTTCATTTTTAATAAAGAAGCAAGAGAAAGATATGGGATTCAAAGAGGTGACAGAGGCACAGTGCCTCACGCCTAGGACGAAGTTCCATGAGGTGCAAGATTCATGGAACGTACTGCGCCCAAACTACCTGGGCTGATTTTTTCACTGCCTCATTGCGCCTTGTTGACAAGGCGTGCCTTGGGCGCTTTTTAAATCTAAGTCCCTGCTTAATATAAACCCTTAACTTATCAGAAAAATATATTGAAGGAAGGACTGCCGAAGTGAATTAATAAACCTATAGTGACAAAAAAATGTCAATAAAAAATCACTAGAAGATAATGATTTAAAAGAAAAAATTACCTGTCTGAAGGATCTCGTCCAGGCATTTCAACAAAGAGGTCATGATCACATACAATCTGCAGAAATGTAAGCTTGCAATCATGCAGAACTGAGTGACATACCCCAGAGAACTTATCAAGGTACAAGGATACCTGAAGGGCAAGAGACAAACAAAATATTTTTAATCCTAGGTACACAAGATGACAAAATGTGATCACTATATGGAAGAGTAATATATTTTATAATGAGTATGATGTAGGTGGGAGCATGTACACAGAGAGGACTGTCTTTGGCAGTATTGAAAAATTCACATGATTCCAGGATAGGTTAAAAAGTTGCTTTCCTCGTAGCAAAGTATGGTTTCCTTAGTGATGATTGAGTTCACTTTCATAACAAGACGTATCTTCCCAGTGATGTTATTGGGTCTCTTCAGCTGGATGCTAATGATCTTCCTTACGTTTGGTTTTAATGTTTGTCACATTTGTGTATTTTAATCTTTAAAGTTTGATGGTGATTTGCCTTCTGAGGACACACACTATACACACTATTATATATGTTTAAATTTACAATAATTAACTATACTAGCATTTTGCATGCAAGTATATATATGTATATATATGTATACGAATTACTAAGAAAAGAAAAAAGTATTTGGAAGACCTGTGACAGAATGAACCATAAACAACAACAGCATCCGAGCCTTATTCCCAAAAGAACAAAAGAAAAGAATTAAATATGGAGCAGCATTTACTTAGGCAGAACAAAATGAAAGAACAACGGAAACCTACGGAAGTGCGGAACGATAAGAAAGAAGAAAAAAACTTGCGACTAAAGAGAGACTCCAGAACCTGAGCAGGAGATTTTGGAGCAATCAACGATGAGGCATTTCATTAGTACAACACCTTTCCTTCGGGAATTCATCCTTCCTTTGACGATTCATAAGACTGAACTTTTATACTCCGTATTTATATTAAAACTAGTTTCTAAAATACTCCATCTATACCTAAATAATTGTCCAACATTCCTTTTTGGGCTGTTTCACTTCAAGTTTTGGAAGTGGACTCACCAATTGCTTTTTACCCAACATTCTAATTCCTAAAACCAATCGATTTCCCCATTCTATCCCACCCACCCAACAAACATCCACTACCCATCATAATCATCCCCATTCCACATTTACTTTAGTTTGTCTGTCTGTTGTACCACATTTCACTCTTTCCACCATCCATCTCTCTCGAAGCATCTCCTCCTCACTCTCCCTTTCTCAGAGAGCACCCTCCCTCTCTCTTTCACAAAACACCCTTCCCCTGACATTGATCTTTTGTCTACCCCTTAATCCTCCACACTGGCACGTTTTTGAGCCCTCATTTCCCCACTCGTCAATCCTTTGTGTACCTTTGCATTGATCTGTATGAACTGAGTCGGAGTTGTTGATGATTGCAAAGGGGGGTGTTGAACAATGTCCATCTCTGTAAGGGTCATTCTGATGTGCAGAAGGATGTGATTTCTGATCATGATTCACAAAGTGGTGATTGTTCAAGGTGGTGCACATCCACAAAAATAGATCCATGTTGAGCTATCCTCAAAAAATTGAGGTCCAAGGTGTTGGACACGTACATCGGGTATGGTGATATAGATGATGAAGGGGAGGGAGGTGACCTCAACAGAACGTCCGACTCCATTTGACCACATTATTTTCCATACGCAAGGGAAGATCCTTATTATCTACTCATTACAATGTTTTTATTGGTTATTTGTGCGCTGCCGATTTAGTTTACTTATTGGTTGTCGGTTCACCTCTCTTAGTTGTATTGGTTATACACTCTATTATCTTGATTAGATATGTGTTGCTGGATTGGTTTGCTAATTTGGTTGTATGGTCGCCTCTCTTGACTATACTAGTTATACAATATTTTTCTTGGTTATATTTGTGCTACTGAATAGGTTTGTTTATTTAATTGTATGGTTTCCTGGTTTGGTTATACTAGTTATGCTGTATGATTTCTTGGTTACCTCTCTTTGTAGCATAAATACAGCCCATTTACTCCAAAACAAATTGGGAAGGAGAACTGTTGCACAAAGAAGACCTAATTATGGCTACTTTGTAATCCTATTCACAGAAGGTCCTACAAAAATACAGATAGTTCTTTTACAAGAAAAAAGTGCCCAAAATACAAAAGCGGCAGTGTTTTGCCTTGTCCCTTGTTTGTCATTGAGGGAGCTGACTGATAATGGTAAAAGTTGAACCCTTTCTAGTGCAGTAGTGCTTATTTCCCAATGTGAACTTGTTCATATGTATTACTCACTTCACCTTCAATACTTCTATCATACATTCATACGTAACTAAAAACTTAGGAATGCACGATTTAAGGAATGAGGGCTGCATGCAATGAAAGCACATTTGGGCATTAACAAAAGAGGGTTGCATGCAAGGGTTAGCATTTATCCTTTAGAGATTGAATAGCTCGAAAGAGTCCCATAAAAAGCATGTTCATATGGGTCGTTAGCTGGTTGATTAATTAGCTTCACATTCATATGCATTTTGTACACTGTCATCTAAAATTTGTATAATCACCACATATATGTGGTCATGTATTAATGTAGATTGTTTCTTCACCCCCACATGCCACTTCTCCGTTATGCTGGTAGTAACTGAAATAAGATCGTGTCCCTATATGCCTCTTTGTTCAGTACAGATATTGGATTAAGTTCTGCTGTGGTTGTGCTATGTTATTTCTTTTTCTTTTTGCTTTCACCATTTTCACGAAATGCCACTTTCCAATTTTCCATCAAAAGTACATTTATATTGGTCATTGAATCCAGCCCTTGCTATTGCACCGGAACAGGACCTCTTCGATCATTCGATGAAGCTTTTTGTTTTGCAAGTTCTGTATTGCTTAATCTCACAAGGGAGAAAATAATATTCTTGACTCCTTTTGATAATGTAAAACCAATTTTCATCTATGTGATTGTGTTAAACATTTCTTGAAATACTGGATTGTTGGGCAAAAATTCTTGTTTGAAATTATTCATACAACATTTAAACCTATTTAACATGTTCTCGGCGGTTAACAGAGACATAATAGCATTAGAGTGGGTGAATTTTTCCCATTCTCACTAACCGGTGAATAGTCGTTACAAGTTGTCCCATGGCTTTTGTAGTGCTTCTGATTGTGCACCATTAATGCAATGGGAGGACTGACAGTAGAGAGATGTCTACATATTCTTCCTTTCACACATGCACTTCCTGTTAGAGTTTATGTTGATGGTTTTCCTAATTTCCTCTAATCTTGCACTCTTCTGCTGTGTTCCAAATCATGTGCGAAGTTTAACAGTTTATGCTAAAAAGCAATGGCAGCATTTTATCAGCCATCTTGCTCAAGTGCAAAACTTTCTCATCTACTTCCTTCTGAAAGAGAAAACTCAGTGGATATCCCCTCTTTGCATTGTTGAGGCTGCGCTTGTCTCCCGCCATGTAACTATTGGGTTATGCCAAACATACCCTGCTCTTAGAAGTCATACCACTAAACTGTAATGTGTACAGTGCCCCTACAAACAGCATCTTAAACTCCACACCCTACGGGAGTCCGGGACATATATTTAGAAGCGGAGAGAGTATTACTTTCTAAAAAAAATTGGGTTGTAATTCTAATTTCTAAACATAAGTATTTGTTTCTAAATTCTGGCATTGCCTATAAGCCTAGATGACGCCGCAGTCATACTATTGCCACTATAATTGGAAGACTAAAGTGGGAAAAACTCATCAGATTTTATTTGGGAAAAAAACTTTTATAAAAATCTTTAAAGAGTTAAACTAATCATAATACACTTTATGAACCATGTCCTTTTAGGACTACTGATATATTTTAGATTGTTAGTAGTTTTGTTTTATAAAGGAAGATCATCATCCTAGCTGACCAAATCTCCCGCCCCCTTCTCTTCTTTCAGCCTGCTCGCACCCTACACCAGCTTGCCGCAGATCCCCACCACCGTGTTACACAGCAGCTGCCACCTCTGCCTCTGCCACTCCTCCTTTTCTCCTTTCTTCTGTCCACAATCGATTGTTCCCGTCCTTTTGCTTTCTTAGTCGAACAGAAGGGTCGTCACCATCGAAGATAGCGATGAGCTTCATTGATCCAGCGGCGAGGAGCTCAGACCGCTGCACGCAGCTGCCGCCTCATCTTCTACTCCTTTTTCAATCCACAGATCGATTTGAAATTTTGGCTGCCAGTGGTAGGGGGTCTGGCAGGGGGAAGGGTTAGGGGTTCTGGACTTCCATGTTCGTGGTTGGAGGCAAGGCTAGGGTAGGGGTCCAGGGGTAGTGGCAGAGGCTGGTGTGGAAATGGGGGGGAGGCAGTGGTTGGGGGCAGACTGGGGGAGGGATTGGGGCGGTGGCTTGGGAGGGGTTGGGCGATGGGGTATGGTAGAAGGAGTGGGCAAGGGCTGGGCTGGTGGGGCGGTGGTCATTGGACGGGGCAGTGGTGGTCACTGGATAGGACGACAGCGGCCAGTGAATGGAGTGTCGGTGGTCACTTCGTGGCGGCAGTGATCAGTGGACATGGCGACGGTGGTCACTCGACGTGGCGGCAGCGGTCACTAAATGGGGTGGCGGTGGTCACTGGATGAGGTGACGAAAGTAACTGGGGGTGACGGGTCACTATCGGGCAGCAGGTCACTGTGCGGGACTGTGTGTCACTGTCACTGGGTGAGGGTAGGGTATAACAGTCAATAATATGTCACTATTTTGAAAAGTTTAAAACTAATCCTATTTTTATCCAGGACTTTTGTTTTAGTAATATTGATGTCAAAACCCTATAAATCAATCAATATGTCATGTCAGATTTAATATAACTTTGGGTAGCCATAAATCCTTGGTAGAGACCGCTTCTGACTCACTACCAATATTGTATAAACCTATAGGGTGACACAGCTAAGAGATATGGATAGTTAATGCTTAAATATAAAATTAATAAGCTCAATTCCAAAAAGGGATTTCAAGTCCTATTAGGCAGGGTTTGCAGAAGGCTTTTTTCAGCTATAAAACCTCCTTTCCTCCTCTCATAATATAACCTCATGGCAGCTACGAAAACTAAATATATCCACATGATAAGATCACATAGAGAGGAGAGAGAAAACACTAGCACGCTAGCTACAGACGGATCGTTTGTGAGCCTGTGGATGCCAGCAGAGCTCTGAAATGTTTCCGAGATCGTCTGACATAATACATAAATTCGAAATCCTGATAGTTTCTTTTATAATACGAGCTTCAGATCCTGTCAGGTATTTGATGCCAAATTTATTTATTTATTCCGCTGTGTTAGATCAGCCTGGATCCAACAATATTATGCATGTGAATTGATCTATTAGCATGAAGACTGGATTAAACATCCCAATTCTTTTAATAAACATCCACATTAGAACATCACCACAACTGTGATAAAGGAATAGAGCACAGTTGCAAAATACAACTACATGATAAGGAGAAAATGAATTCACATAATAACAAAAAATAAAACATACCAGCTCAAAAACTTGACGAGGCTCAATGGTCGTCAATAGGTCATAACAAAAGAAAGCTAGGCTGCTGTTTAACTGTTTGGCTATGCTTAGACCTTTCTTGCAACGCTCGTGAACTTCAGTTAAAAGGCAATCATATAATTGTACAATGCATCTAAAAACACCTTCTTTCAGTTGCATCGGGGGGGAATCTTCACCTGTGGCCAAAGGGGACAAGAGAGGTATAAATGCAAAAGAGCACACTGAACAACATGACACAGAAAAATGAAAATAAAAACATGAAAGATTAAGAACACCAGTTGTATGTCGCAGATTCTTTTTTTTTTAGAAAAAGAAAAGGGAGAAGGCAACACAAACTTTAAATACAGTAACACAAAATAAAAAAGAAGGGGAAACTGATATAGGGATAAGAAATAGAATTGCAGAAGTGCTGAGCTGCTGCCAGAGGTAGTAAAGAATAGAGTTGAGATTATTTGTTCTCTTGTAATATAGAGAAGATGTATATAGAGTTGAACTAATTACTTCTATAGTGATATATATCTATATATAGGGCAATATTCATGTAAGGTAGGCATAAAATTTACAATTGTTAGGCTTCTTTTAATTGAGGTGCTTTCATGTCGAAGTTTCTTATGAAAATTTGTGAGCATGTTCACCATGAAGTGTAGATTATCTCCACCAAGTTTCAGATTAAAATTTAATTGGGAATTCATTCAAATAAATTATTGAAAAAACTGCATTTTTTAATATATAAAAAGTGCAATTTTATATTGCCTCCTACATCTTATCTTCTATAGGTACTAATCCCACCTTTTGTCTGATTTTCTCATTCCTCAAGCGGTCTTTTCTGGTATGTCCACACATCGAACGCAACATACGTACCTCTGAACACTCATCTATTGAATTTGACATTGTTTCACCGCCCAACACTTTACACCATACATTAATGCAGGCCTAATTGTTGTTTGATAAAATTTAGCCTTCAGTCTAATTGTTATACCTTGATCGCATAGAAATCCTAATACACTCTTCCATTTCATTTACCAGGCTCTGATTCAATGGGATACATCTCCAATTCTCCATCTAATTCACCATCCTTCTGAACTATAGAGCCTAAGTAACGGAACATATCGCACACAGGTACCTCCTTGCCATCAAGTGTAATCCCACTATTAGTACTACTTGTACCACCACCAAACTTGCAATTCATATACTTAGTCTTGCTTTGGCTCAGTCCGAAACCCTTTATCTCCAATGTTAGTCTCCATACCTTCAACCTTGCTTTAACACCCGATTGTGTCTCATCAATCAATACAATATCGTCGGCAAACATCATGCACATCGGAATTGACTTCGTAAGTTCATTCATCACTATAACAAATAAGAAAAGACTTGAAGCCGACCCTTTGGTGCACTCCGATAATAATAGGGAACTATGCGGTCCTCCCTACACTAATACGAATACTTGTAGTACAAGCCTCATACATGTCCATGATGATACTGATATACTTAAGTGATATGCCTTTTCTAGTTAAGGCCCACCAAAGGACTTCTCAAGGTACCCTATCACATGCCTTTTCTAAGTCAAAGAACACCAAATGCAGATTCTTTTTAGTGTCTCTATACTTCTCCATAACTTGTCTAAAAAGGTGAATGACCTCGGTTATTGAGCGTCCAGGCATGAAAACAAATTAATTCTCTGAAATTTTTACACTTTTTCGTAGTCTTTGCTCAACCACTCGCTCCCAAAGTTTCATGGTGTGACCCATAAGCTTAATCTCTTGATGGTTGGCACATTTTTGTACATCAACCTTATTTTGAAATCGGGGAATGAGAACACTCTTCCGCCAACTCACTAACATTTTGTTTCTCCGAATCATGTTGAAGAAACATGTTTGTAAAAAGGTTGGAGCTGAAAGAAGGAAGGGGGAAAGAAGGAAAATAAAAAGAAAAAGAAAAAGGGAAATGTAGACACGTAGAACGCCGAATGCCATATGTGCAAATTGACTTGGTAACCAGGTGTTTTTCTAATAAATGTCTTTGATTCAAACGTTTTTTTAATCTTGGGGTGTGTGATTGAGTGATAAATACGTACGAGGGTTTGATTGACTTTTTGAGTATAGTACAAGGGCCTATTTGACAATTTTCCTAGAAGATATTATAAAGATAAAGATAAATATAAGATATAGACAAAAATGACAAGTTGAAAAGGAACCAACGAATATATTTAGAATAAAAAGGATAAAGAGCATAAGAAAGATAAAAAAAATAAAGAGATAAAAGAAAATGAGAGAGAAAAGAGAAAAGAAATCAGTCCGCCACACAAATATGCCCTTCACTATGCTCTCTCCAAAGTCATAGTATCATCCAACCCAACAAGAAGCATATCACTCATGATTCCTCTAATCCACGTTTGTTTGGATCTTCCTAGTTCTCTCCTTCCCGTTTCTACTCCCCGCCTCTCAACTCGTCCAACAGGTGCATCAGTCGACCTTCAATGCACATGATCAAAACACCGCAATTGAGACTCCTGCATCTTCTCTTTTATAGGTGCTAGTCCCACCATTTGTAGGATATCTCACTCCTTAAGTGGTATTTTTTAGTATGTCACTATGTCCACACATCCAACGTAGCATACACATCTTTTGGATATGACATTGTTTCACCGTCCAACACTCTAGGCCATACATGAATGCGGGCCTAATTGATGTCCGATAAAATTTACCATTCAGTCTAGTCGGCATACCGTGCTCACATTTAAATCCTGAGACACTCTTCCATTTCATCCACCTGCTCTGATTCTCTGGAATGCATCTTCATTTAGTTCACCATCCTGAATAATGGAGCCCAAGTAACGGAACATATCATAGACCGGTATCTCTTTGCCATCAATGGAAATGTCAAATATAACAGAACATTTTACCCTTTCTTTTACAAAGAAATAAAAAATCTTAATATTTCATCAAGTAGATAGTTGTTGCGTAAGAAGTCAAATGTTTAGGCAAAAATAGCGTAAGGGTAACGTGTCCGGATTGTAAACACATGACGCCTAACTATTACAAATCCAAATGTAGCGGGTGGAAATTATGATCTCTGTCAATGGGGCAGAAGGTTAGAACGGTAAAGGCAAATATAGTGTAAGGGTACATGTGTCATTTTATTCCTTCCTCTTTACTTAAAATGGAAAGTGGAAAATCATTTTGGAACAACCAAAAAAAGGAAATTTTGCAAAACAAATTGTGACAGAGGGAGTATATATAATCATACATATCTATCTATATATAAAACCAAGTGGAAATTTTGGCCAATTTCCCTCCAAAAGATACAGGTAAGTATACGGGTCAAGTACTTTGAATATTTTGGCATGTGCTCCTGTTATTTCAAGTGGAACAGAGTTAGTAAATGATGTTTTAATAAGTGTACTGCATTTTTGTCCTTTTTCACTGCGACGTATTGGGGAGACTACTTATAATATTTGCATCCTAATCTACACTGAAATTGGCCAATCACACAATCTCTTCTTGGACTTTTCAAAACCGTTTACTATAAAATTCAAATTTATGTCATTCAGCATTAATGTTTACTATCGATTGATTTGTCCTATCACGTTTCTATTCAAAAAAATAAATAAATTAATTGTGATGTACTGATTGTAGTTGCTTACCATTAGTCATTGGATATTACTCCGTATAATGGATCAGATTAATGAAAGAAACAAAAACTGTGCAATTCACACTATAAAAGTGGACATTCACCTAATAATCGATTTCTGCAATTCACTACAACAACAGTGATAAATCCCAGACGAAGTGAGAGAGGCGCAGAATATGTGTCATTTCCTCCAAGCGAGGAAAGAAAATGGGAATTTTCTTTCAGACCAAGAAGTAAGTTTATTTTGTTTAGAAGCACTAATATAGCATTTAGGAACACTGAAGTTTGACTAATAAATCTAACCCCCATACTAAACTGTATAGTACTCCGTATCAATTCCAATGTATGTTCAATGCTAATAGATGAGGTTTACGATATAATAAGAAGTATTGATCAGAAAAGACCATTTCAAAAACAAGGTTAAAAGCAAAACATAATATTTATAAGGAAATTTAATACTCCATATATTTCGAAAAATCAGAAAATTATTTTCGACTCACAGAGGGATGACTCGACCTATTTCACCATGTTTGTACTTCTTACATGCTATCTATACACGAACTTAGAAAAGTGTTCCAATTTACAATTAAAAAGTTGTTTTATTTGTAATTACTAAAATACATTCTATAATTAATTCTCTACACACTACACAAACTAATACATTAAAAATATAAAATAGAGAACTATATTCCAAACAGTTTAGGCTCAAAAACACACTTGATGGCATTTCACGCCACATTTTCAAAACATCAATTCATAAAATTTTAATTATAAAATTATACTACGTAATATTTATAAAATTATTTACAATTATATAATTTATAATTTAAAATTACTTAAAGACTTATAGTATATACATAATTGTATAATAATGAGAATTTGTAGATTAAAACAATTGTTTTCAGATGTAAATAAAAAGGCCTTTATTTCGAGAAAAAGTAGTATATATGTGTCACTTATGCATTACATGCTTAATATTACGACCATATTTTATCAAATCCATCTGTTTTTGTCTATTAGAAAACAAAAATAATACATACTCCGTATTTGATAGTATGATAGATCTGTACTCCAAAAAATAGATCCAAACACATTTGCTATTCCATCACCAATTTATTTTATATTTTTCAAAAAGTAATCAGATTCATACATTAACCACACGACTCATACAGAAGTCATATTGTATGTTCGAGATCGTGTAGTAAATAACAAAATAATGACAGAAATATACAAAAATTAGCAGGGATACATAGATTATTTATTAGAAATATACCAAAAAAAGGGTCGAAAATGTGACTAGAGCCATTTGCAACAGTCGACCTGCAACGGAAAGACACTCAGGAGTGTAGAGCATCAGATTTCCGATGATTATCTGCTAGGGTGAAAAAATTAAGAACAAAAATTGGGGAGTTAGAAGCTGAAGGGCATCAGGTTAATGGTGTGTCTTGATGTCCAAGGGATAATAGGGTGAATTCAAGGATAATAGGGTATTTATATTAGGGATTTGGGCTAGGTAGGTTAGGTTTATACTGATGGAGTGAGTTGGGTCTGGCTGAAGGGGTAAGGGTTTATGGGCTGGGCTTGATTTGAAATTTGGGGGGATTAGGAATGAAACTAGATGCAATTTACTCATTTATTTTAAAACCTGAATAAATTTAATTACTTACATACTAAATTGGGCGGTTAGTTTTAAATGGGCTATCAAAAATGCAAAAAAAAAAAACAATAATTGGTTTTGTTTTAATAGTACTCAAAGAAACATAAATATATTTTAATTGTGTTTATATCATCAGAAACATTTGATAGTCCAAATAAATATAGGCCAGAAAATCATTTCAAATAATGAAATGTACTCTTAGAATGTTTTTATTTTCTGTTAAAATATAAATATATATATTTTAATATTGTTAAAATAATTGGGCGGGATTTAATCAGACTTTTTAATATAATGATTTTAATTTAATGGCCTTCTTTATGTTGCAGTATCGGAAGTAACAAATCGCGAAAGTTTTGAAAATATTGATTTGCCGTGAAGATGGTTATCATACTACCCACGTTGTTTACAAGGAAGTGTTTGAAATGTGTATACTACGGCCAACTTATTGTAATATTTATTTAATCCTTTTTATTCCATAATTATAATTGTTTGTGTTAATACATCTATACACTTTACATTCACTTACACATTAACTAACAATGCTAACAAATAATACTATCGTATAATATAGCTATTACTTAATATATGTCTCGTGCATCGCACTGGAGAGAATCTAGTATATTATATATGTTATATATATAGGGAGCGGTTCCGGTAAGAACGGACTCCCAGGAGAGAAATGAGAATGAATCTGGATCATTGGATTGTTTTATGTGGAACTGAATTATGCATTTGGTGAAACAGAAATGTGCGTTAGATGATATTGAAATGTGCAGAATACAAATTTAAACTCACGTGTGCATTAGGTGAAATTGAAATATGCAGAATAAAGGGTAGAAAAAAACAATACATCGTACCTTTTATTTAGCACATTTCAGTTTTACCTAGTGCACATTTCAATTTCACATAATGCACAATTCAGCTTCACATAATGTCACTGCATCCTACCTTTTGTGTTGCACATTTCAATTTCATCTAATGCACATTACGGTTTCATCTAATGCACATTGAATTTCACTTGAAGCAAATCTAACGGTCCAGATTCATTCTCATTTCTCTCCTAAGATCATGTTCTTATTTGAACCAAAACCTATATATATATATAAGATCAGGTGAGAAGTCCCCCTTAAAATGAGAAGTGAGAAGTAATTTCAGCCCTTGGATTTGTATCTAATCTTACAACGCAGTAAACTTATAGACTGAATATAGGAACTTATAACCGGTAAATCATAACTTATAAAGCTCTCCATCATAATTACGGAAATGTCACCGCGTCAAAAAAATTGAAAGTTTCTGGAGTTATTTTTTGCGGTGGCATTTTCGTAATTATTTTCGAGGGGGTCTATAAGTTATGATTTATTAGTTAAAAGTTCGTGTTTTTAGTCTATAACTTAAACTTCGCAGTTCTCAGCTTAAGAGCACTTCTCACCTAATTCGCTCCCTATATATATATATATATATATATATATATATATATATATATATCATATGTTATGACTAGCGAGCTCACGAGCTAAAAAGAATTGTGGTCGAGCTCGGTTGCCTAACGAGTCAGTTTGAGTTCGGCTTGAGTTCAAGTTTTGATCGAGCGGGTTGACTCGTTTGCACCCCTAGTGGATATATAGATGTTGTCAGACATGAGGTTGCATGAATAATAATAATATTATTATAGTTTTGTAGAGAAAGAAAGACACAAGGACTCAGGCGGTGTGATCCAGGGTTTGAATTACTTGCCAAAATCGTCAAGGAGGGCTAGTAATTGGGGTTTGACATTATCCTATTTGCCACTGTAGGTAGTTCTGCCCTCAGCCTCTCGCACCTATGGTTATCGGGTCTGTGGTTTGTTCTGGTTGCACCTATGGTTTTCTGAAGGTGTTTTGGTTATGCTTGTTTTTCTTGGTTTGTATCTGAGTTCCAAGATTTATTTAAGGAAAGACAACAGAACATGCTACTGCATGTTACTGCAGTTACAAATAGTTCCAAACTAATTGATGTTACACTTCAATCTAATAGTTAGAACTTTGGAAGATGGGATTATTTAATTATAGGATCATCATGGGTATTTTGGCATAAAAATCACCTGATGCAAGAATGTCTGAAAAATGAGAAACTAAAGCAGATGGAGGTTTCCAGTTTCACCTGGTAACCTCCTCTGCAATCAGATGAGAACTTTTCCATACAAAAAAGATGACCTAGCAAGAGTAGGTCTGTCCTACAATTACTAACTCTTTATGGATTAAACATAGGTAACCATTCACTTTCCAAAAAATGGCAAAAGTAATTGTCAGGACCATGAAAATAATCAAGTTTGCCCAATATATTGATTGTTTTATGATAAATGAAAGCTCACATTGTAAACCTTTTTACAACAATTGAAAAAAACAAACTGGGAAACTTTTCAGAATAGCCAATATCGTCAAATAAAAACAATATTGAGAAATTTTGCATGCCACATAGATACTCAGAAAAAATAGAAACACATTCAGCTTTAGACCGAATGCTGAAAACTTTCTTCACTTTTACAACTAGAACAATGGTGAAAGTATTGCACACTTGCACAGTGCACACTTCGAAGCCCGCAAAGTTTTCAGGCATTCAGACATGCTTCATTTTTCTTGTTTTTATTTTCAAATGAACTCAATAAGCATATCTTTTCAAAGCATTCCATTCAGTGAGAACATACCTGATGAAATGTTGTGATAGATTAGTCGAGCTTGCTCCAAAGCCATTGACTTGACAATTAACTCTAGAAAAAACCAAGCCATTGCCAAGACATCATCATATACAGGTCCAACACGATAACCTTTTGCCTACAATGTGTAATTGTGCATTTATGAGGTTAAGATTCAAAAGAACATTCAGCACAACAAGAAGAGAGCTCCTGAGGATAAGGGCAAATGATGTTTGAAGCAGGATATTACATAACAAAAACTCTTGATAACATCGAGGGATGATACATAATACATGCATGCATATAATTGTAAAGTTTGATTCAGTTTTCCTAATAGAATTAATACCACTTTTGGTCCTACGAGTATTATGTCAAATTCATATATGTATGTGTCTTTGATTTTCCCCACAGTTGGTACACCACTATTGTTTTCTTTCCCATGTGTGGTTGTTCTGGCTTATTTTTTGGCGCCTTTCCAACAAATTTTAAGTGCGGGAATTATATATGAAAGGACTATAAGTGAGCAAGAAATGATAGACATCATGTCCCTTTTTATTTAGCCATCTTTGACTTTTCCAATCAAAGATGGTGAACTTTGAACACTTATTTTAACTAATATATTTATGTAAAATTTAATGATTTTATAATTCTATGATAGTATTTTTGACAAAAAACATTTTGATATCATTTTCATATTATCAATACTTATGTGTATAAATATATAACCCGACAAAGATGGACACCATTGACTTGAATCAACTGAATCAACTATTATTTACGGGTCCTTTGTTGTACGCTACTGAATCAACTGAATACAAATTATTCAGCCCAAAATATTTCTCATTACTTGTCTTCAACTTTCATGTCGACCCCAAAATCTTTTGGAACTAAGGCTTGGATGTTGTCGTACTTGTCTTCAACTTTCGTATGGTATCAAAGTTGTGCTACTACCGGTCCCCGATCCCCGGTTTCCGGTTCAACTGGAACCAGAGTTTGGAATCAGAGGTTCACTAGTCCAGTTCGATTCTCCCAAAATTTGGAATCGGAAGAGTTTTTACTTAAAATAAAGGGAAAATTACCGAAATAGGAGCAAAATGTTTGAGAATTTCAAAATAGGACTATCATGTTTTTATTCCCTAAATAAGAGTTATTACTGTCAAGCTTGGAATATACTGCTATGTTTAAAGTCTGGTACTACCAAAACAAGACAGTATTTAATTCTATTAATGAAATAAAAACATGATACTCCTATTTTGGAATATACAAACGCTTTTAGTCTTATTTAGGGTAATTTCCCCAAAAACAATTAGAGTGCATTACTGCAGTGAAAGTGTGAAACTTGCCAAGAATCCAATCTATCATGGGAAACCAAAGCACATTGGGATGAGGTATCATTTTGTTAGAGGGTTGATCAGTGGAGGAACAATGAACTTGAAGAACATCTCAGGTGCAAAGAATGCAGCAGATATGTTCACTAAATCTGTGACACTGGACAAGCAGAAGTTCTATGTAACTTCAGAAGGCCTTCAAGAATAATGTTGAGAAGGCAGGTGGCAGCTAGGAGGAGCTAAAGTTCAATTATGCTTACTAAAGTATAGAGGAGTGGAGTGCAGCTGGATCGTGTTTCGAAACCTCCAAGTTGGAGATTGTTGGAGCCAAATAAAAAAAGGAGCAGCAGTCGGCCTTAGCTAGATGTGCAGCTGGCCCTAGCTAGGCATGTTTTTTTGTGGCAGTCAGGCCCAGAACTGAATTAGAAGTTTAGGCTCATTGTTAGCATATATATACTAACTCTTGTACTTGTAAACATGGCATTATATCATTCATCGGCTCAATAAGTAAAGAAAACCCTAGTTGCCCCCGTGGATTAAATTCGTGTCGTTCTTCTCGTTCTTTTCTAGATTTTAAATTCGTGTCGTTCTTCTCGTTCTTCTTGAAGATAATTGCGCAATTAAAAGCGCAGTTACCTTCAAGAATTCATTTGAATGCCTTCCTGATTGATGTTTTAGCTGAAATTTGGTATGAGTAAACTAGATTTAATGAATAAGATGCTCAAAAAATTTCATCAAAAAATTCCACCAGAAACCTCCCCAAATGGCGACGTCGAGACAGTAAGGACTTATTTGACCCTTTTTATGCAATTTCGAGGACCAATCTGACCCTTACCTCATTAAACAATAATAGAAAGCAGATGCTTTCTATTCCAAGTGGATAGGCACTGCTTTGCTACTCTGAAAGCATAACTATTAAACAAATAGAAATCACAATATAGTGATTTACAAAATTCTATCTTGTGCTGAGAGATAATGATACGGAAGGTCTGGAGGGCAGCATAGATCAGTGACAAGCTGCTAAGTCACAAAAATTGTGTGTTACATGAGAGAGAGAGCAGACGAAGCCGCAGCATAGATAGAAGGCTTGACTTTTAGATTTGAAACTAATTTCATTAAAAGCTTTCAATAGCCTTCATATTCATACGCTTGAGAAGTAACTAGAGAGTTTCATGATATACGGCTAGGAGCCAAACTAGAAACTATTCAGCAAAAGCAAATGACCCTCGAGTCTAGCTCATGTTTAAACAATAGATTTACACAATGGGAAGCTTTCCTAATTATAACTTTTTCTTGTTATATTTTATGGAAAAGGCCTCCACAAAGCAAACTTCCACCTAAAATGTTATGTATGAAAATAACTTGCAGAACAGAAGCCTACATCATAAAAAAGCATACCTTACTCCGAGCCAAGCTTCCCCAAACTGTTGCCAAACCAGGATAAACCGGTGCTTGGCGGCCACCAAAATCGTCAAAAGCATAGTCTACATAGCTTACAAGGTAAACATTTCTTTCAGCTTCATCAACTGACTCTTGATGCACCCTGAAATTATTGCCAGAGTATCATGCATACAAAGATAACCCTGCTTACAAACAAAATACTCCCTCCGTCCCTTTTTATGTGTCTTACTTTCCTTTTCGTGTCTCAAAATAAGTTTCATGTTTCCCTTTTTGGAAAGAAATATGTGGTTCATATAATTTCACTTTATTCTACTCAAACTTCAACCACAACTTTACTTTTCAACCACATTATTAATAAGTGCCAAACCAAAACAGGACATAAAATGGGACGGAGGTAGTACTTAACAAGAAATACAAATCCAAATGCAATTGTGCAGCATATAACTAAATATCGTTCTACTTTCTCTTAACCTCACTCACATGGGAATACATTGTTCCTATGATAGTTCAAAAATATACCTTGTTAAAATGTTGACCATAGCTCTGAAGGCTGCAACCTGAAGAAGTAAATGGGAAAATGTTAATAGTCTGTCAGCTATACACAGAGTAATAGGAAAAAAATATTAATAAAGAACTCATCATCATCATTACCCCAGTGCCGCAAAGGCTCCGACCTTCGGTGGGGTAAGGAGAGTCGGATTAAGCAGTCCTACCCCTGTACTAAAGCACAGAGAGACTGTTTCCAGATAACCCATAGTGAAAATCACGTCAAAAATGGCATGGACTGATTACTACTTCATAAAAAAGAAACGCAGACAGTTTAGTGAGTCATTTTTCTTTATTCCATCATATTCCCAAGCCAAAAAATAGCGAGTATTTGGCTCCATTGCAAATGATGGAAAAATTAATAAAGAACTAATAATAAGAATTATAGTTATAATTATAATAACATGAAAGTTACTTCCACAATCTTTCTCCATGTTCCTTTTGTGCAGCTCTATCATGAGACAAGCTTATTTTAGTAATCCCAAATTGTTTCGGACGTCATTAGATGAAATTGAAATTAATAGAGAATTAGAGATGAAGAACTTCTCCGCCCTAGGCTTGAGAAGGTGACATCCAACCTTGTGAAGACTCTAAGGACTAACTCAAAAATTATTGATCACATTAGCAATGAGCATGTTACAATGGTGGTTGAAAGATAGAAAGGAAAGGACAATCACTCCAAAATTATTGATCATATTATTAAGGGAAAATGGAAACTAATAGTCCCACCTTTTGATTATTCAGGAATAATCCAACCTTTTCACCTCATCTTCATTCAATGGTCCCTGACCGGTTGATGACCCGATATTCCAAGTTATTTTCTTATCTTTGCAATATATTATACCATAAATCTCACCTTATGGTCACATGATGTTTTGCAAAGATAAGAAAATAACTTGGAATAGCAGGTCATGAACCGGTCGGGGACCACTGAATGAAGATGAGGTGCAAAGGTTGGATTATTCCTGAATAATCAAAAGGTGGGACTATTGTAAGAAGACCGCTAAAAGGTTGGATTATTAGTTTCCATTTTCCCTATTATTAATGAATAAAAAGCTTCAATTTAAACTAGTCTCAACTCTCAAGGGTCCTGGGGGGCACTACTAGAGTAACTCTAAATTTATTACAATATTTCTATCAGGAACTTTAACTAAAATAAAATACATATATTGGTAGGTAAATACTACTAGTAATACCGATAATAATAATAGTAGTAGTAAGAGCAGTAACAATAACAATAACACCAAAAACAAGAATAATACTAATACTAATACTATCATTATTTATACTAATATTATAATATAAGAAAAGAGGCTGCTCGAGTCATTGCTCCCTCTTGGGCATCAAACTTGCCCTCAAACTTGAAGGAGTAAAATGGAATGTCAAGTTTACAAATGGCATTTTTAGGAAACCAATAATCAAGCTATCACATTAAATGATGAGACAGTTGGTACTGTTGATTTGCTATTTTGGGATACCTAGACATGGCAGATGGCCTCTGTAGGTGAAGACAAAGATAGCGGCTGAGCTGGAATTTTGGATACGAGTAGCGTACAAAAATTCAGTTGCATTGAACCGGGTGATGGCAGGAAGTGGCTTGCAAGATCAAATCCAATGATGGTGGTAATGGCATCTGAATTCCTAGATGCAATTAAGTAGAGAGAAGAAGATAATTCTGATCTTCTGGCTCCACGATTTCTATGTAAAACAAGAGTTTGAAATGATGTTGGCCCAAGTTTCTCACAATCATAGCATAACCATTTGGCTTGTCTAGCAGTTGTGTCGATTCGGCATATTTCGAAAAAGCAAGTGATCTTGTGAAAGAATCAAGATCCCCTATAACCGTTGCAAATGTTTTTCTTGAATGAGAATCAATGAGGGAATCAAGTTTCATCACAACAGAAGTAGGATCCTCCATGACTGTTGCAAGAGCCTTTGATGTCTCAGAGATCGAGACATTCAATTCTCCAAGTGTTTTCCTCGAACGTTTTTGGCCCCGCAAATTTGGAGTTGCACCTTGACGGAGCATTTCCATTAGCATGGCATCATCTTTTGTCATCATTCCAGCTCAAATAAGTTGAGGTACTAGTTTAACGATCTTTTTTAGGAGAAAGAGACACTAAATTGCAATACTAAACTAAAAAGAAGACAGCAATCACATCACTAAAAAGGATTTTAATTGTGTCGGTTGAAGAATAGTAATGTAGTGGACTTACTGATGGTGTAGGATTGCAATATTGTTGTCTGTGTCTTTTTTTACTCCGGGGGGGTCTGGGGGCTGGGGGCTGGGGGGCCTGGAGTAATAAGGGTTGAAACTCGCTCCATTGAGTTTCAAACCCTTGTGTGCCTAGCGGGTTTCGAACTCGAGACATCCCACTAGGCACGGTAACCTCACAACCAGTTGGGCTGGAATGCTTGGTTTGTTGTCTGTGTCTCTATTTTTGCACATATGAATTGAAGATTGGGGGCAGCTGGCAATCTTAGGCCCCGAACAAACAGGGGCTGGATGTTGGCAGTCTCTGTTTTTCTCTCTTCTTTATTTTTTTATTTTTGGAATTTGAGAATATTGTTGGGAAAAGAAAATAAGAATTGGTGAAGGATGGAACAGCTATGGAACCAAATTATTACAGGTGTGGTTGGGAGATGGATTGTAAAAGATTAATCAAGAACTTCTCTGCCCTATGCAAGAGAAGGCAACACCCAACCTTGTCAATAATTCAAGGAATTACTACAACATTATAAAGAATATTTAATAAATAGAACAATTCTATTTATACTAGTTCCAAGAATCTTGGGGGCAACATTCGAGTAATTTAACCCCACTACAGTCCTCTTAGATAGGAAAATATTACTACTAAATAATAATAATAGTAATACTAATGGTGGTGGTGTTTATTTATTATGGGGTGTTAATGGCCGGATAGTAAATACTGTGAGGCTTAATTAACCTAGTTTGCCCTAAATAAGATCAAAAGTCCTTGGAAAAAGACAAGTTGACACTTTAATCACTTAAAAATGTTGACAAACCTGAAGGGTTTCTCCACCATTGCTTATGAGATGCAGAAGCATATTTAGAATTGGATATAAAAATTGAAGCAGAGCTGTAGAATCAACATTCTTCAAACTGTTAATGGCCTGCAATAGAATTGCATAATTTTTTTGACACCATAAGTTGGGTGCAGATGTCAATAACTACTACTTATGAAAGGATGAAATGATAATACAGACCCATAAAATAAGAACAAAACAGCACTAATTCGTTTAAAATCCATCGGAAAAATCATTTTCATTTGCCTATGTAATTCATCCACATCTCGGCATATGTCTACATAAGAAGTCACTTCAAGTGCATGAAAAGATATGGGACACAAAAGTTTCCGTGTATAAATCATCCTTATAATTTGTCAAGTTCTAACTAAACCTCATAAGTTTTTGACACCATAAGTTGGGTGCAGATGTCAATAACTACTACTTATGAAAGGATGAAATGATAATACAGACCCATAAAATAAGAACAAAACAGCACTAATTCGTTTAAAATCCATCGGAAAAATCATTTTCATTTGCCTATGTAATTCATCCACATCTCGGCATATGTCTACATAAGAAGTCACTTCAAGTGCATGAAAAGATATGGGATACAAAAGTTTCCGTGTATAAATCCAACTTATAATTTGTCAAGTTCTAACTAAACCTCATAAGTCATAACTTGAATTGATTTATAAATTTGACTTAAAGAGAGAAAGCATGAAAAAGGAGAACTATGATAGGCACTCAGCCCAACCACCTATTAAATATTATAATAAAGTGTACACAAGGAGAGAGAGGAAGGTAGCTATTAATTAGCCAATCAGTTAGTTACGCTATTTTGTCCCTGTGTGGACCATTTACTTTAAATAGCAACCTAGCGGCTAAGTTTGGGTAGGCTGTTATTTGATATTAAGTGTTGCCTTGGAGAGTGGTCCTCTCGAATAGATTGGTTGCCTTGTTACCTACGGTTATCCTCTACTATCAATACATATTTTATTGATCAGATCTGTGCCATTGTTTATCGCTTTAGATTTCTCTTTTGCTTGTACCTATCATTGGTATGAGAGCATAACTCCTGGGGATCGGAATCCAAGATCGACGTCAACTGGGCTCTCGTTTTTAGTTGTGGATGGTAAAAACGAGATCCAAAATTGAGCATCGCATGGAGGCGTTTGAGCAGGAAATGAGAGCTACCATTGCAAACCTCACTTCCGCCATGGATGAACGGATCCAGAACAGCATCGCCGCTTCCATGGCAAGCTATCAAAGCAGGAGCGATCATAACCGTGGAAGATCACAATCACCACCTCCTCATCGTTCGCGACCACCCCACAGCCAGTCTCACTCAAGAGGTAATTCCACACATTCCCCAGTCCATATCCGTCGGGTTCATACGGGTAGAAAAGTGGATCTACCTTTGTTTAGTGGGGAGGGTGCATATAATTGGATCGTAAGAATGGAACGTTACTACCGACTGAATGGGATTGAAGAGGAGGATAAAGTAGAAGTATCGGTTGTGGCCATGGAGGACAGGGCTTTGAATTGGTTCCAGTGGTGGGAACATCAGGCTGAGGAAAGAACTTGGGAGAATCTGAAGGATGCTGTGATTCGTAGGTTTCAACCGGACTTGATTCAAAATCCGTATGGCCCTATGCTCAGTTTAAAACAGTGGGACAGTAAAAGAGTATAGGAAGGAGTTTGAGATGGTTATAGCTCCTCAGAAGGATATTGACAGGGGTATGCTGTGAGGCATCTTTATCAATGGCCTGAAGGATGAAGTTAAAACGGAACTCAAACTCTATAACTCCAGATCCCTAGCTGCTATAATGGATAGAGCTTTACTGATTGAACAGAGAAATGAAGCTATTTATGGGAGGAGTAAAAGTGCAGACAGAAATGAAGGGAGGAACAAAGAGCCTACACAATACAGATCATCAACTTGGGGTGAAGGGTATAAACCCAGGTCTGGGAGTTCAGGGCCCCAGACGGGAGACAGGAATACTGGAGATGCTAAAGGAAATCCAACTTGGGTCAATCACATGGGGACGAAGATGACTGAAATAAATCCCTTAGGGATAAGAAGAGTAGCACCTCAACTACCTCAACTATCTCAGGAGGAATACCAGGAGAGGAGTAGGAGAGGACTGTGCTTTAAATGTGGGGATAAGTGGAGCAGAGAACACATCTGTAAGATGAAGAATTATAAATTAATTTTGGTGGAAGATTCTGATGAGGAAGAGGAACTGGAGATCCCAGAACCTGCAGTTGCAGAAGAAGAAGTGGTACACATGGAGTCCAAGTCCATGCAGTTGTCTGTGATGCGTAAAGAGGGGATCCCCTCACTGAGGGCTTTTAAGGTGCAGGGGATACTGAAGGGGCCCAGGGTGACAAACAGGTGGAGATACTGATTGATAGTGGGGCCACACACAACTTCATATCAAAAAAGTTGGTGGATCAATGGGACATCCCTTATCAGACCATTCCTGGATACAAGGTACAGATAGGGAATGGGGATAAGATAACCAATAATGGCAGATGTCAGGGCCTGATTCTAAATCTACAAGACACTAGTATCCAGCAGACCTTCTACATACTAGAACTGGGAGGTACTGATTTAGTCCTGGGAATGGAATGGCTAACCAGTTTGGGTGATGTTGAAGTGAATTTTCAGAAGCAAAGCATAAAGTGGCAACAGATGGGGACAAAACAAATCATACAGGGAGAACCACAATTAAACTCTATTGAAATATCTTTACAGACCATGGCTCACATTATACAGGATACAGGGGATGGATATATGATTTTCTGTGAAGGCAGGTTAGAAGGAGGGAAAGAGCAGACGAAGGACCCCATTTGGGAGGAGATAATGACAGAATTCCCTGAAGTAACAACCCCGAGACAAGGGTTACCCCCTCATAGAGCCTGTGACCATGCTATCAACATTAAGGAGGGGGCAGAAATACCTAACATAAGGCCATACAGGTATCCACAATATCAAAAACAAGAGAGAAAAAATCATCCAAGAAATGTTACAGGCCGGAATTATACAGCCCAGCAACAGTCCCTATAGTAGCCCAATTTTGTTAGCCAAGAAGAAGAATGGGGGCTGGAGGTTCTGCGGGGACTACAGGGCACTGGATGGGATCACCATTCCTGATAAATACTCCATACCCGTCATTGAAGAACTGCTGGATGAGCTGGGGGGAGCTTCTATCTTTACCAAGCTGGATCTCAAATCTGGCTACCACCAAATTCGACGAAAGCTGCAGACATTCAGAAAACAGCATTTAGAACCCATGATGGTCATTACGAGTATCTAGTAATGCCATTTGGGTTAACTAATGCTCCATCCACCTTTCAGTCCCTCATGAACCAGGTTTTGAGACCATTTTTGAGAAAATTTGCTCTGTTTTTTTTTTATGATATACTTATCTATAGCCAGAACAGGGAAGCACACCAAGAGCACCTGAGGAGTGTCTTAAGAGCCTTGAAGGAGAATCAGCTGGTAGTGAACTTAAAGAAGTGTTCATTTGGGCAGTCACAGCTAGTTTATCTGGGGCACATAATATCAGGAAAAGGGGTTTCAGCTGATACCTCTAAGATTGAGGCAATGTTGAGTTGGCCAGAACCTAGGGATCTAAAGGGGCTGAGAGGGTTTTTGGGTCTTACTGGGTACTACCGGAGATTTGTCAAAGGGTATGGTAAGCTGGCTTTACCTCTCACACAATTGCTTAAGAAAGACAGTTTCAAATGGGACACTTCAGCCAGTATTGCTTTTGGAGAACTAAAAAGAGCTATGATTACCCTACCTGTCTTAGCAGTACCTGATTTTAATAAACTTTTCATAGTGGAAACTGATGCTTCAGGAACTGGTTTGGGGGCAGTCCTTATGCAAGAAGGAAGACCCCTTGCTTACATGAGCAAGGAATTATCCAAAAGAAATCAAGGAAGGTCTGTGTATGAAAGAGAGTTGATGGCCATAGTGCTAGCTGTACAGAAGTGGAGGCCTTATCTGCTAGGAAGGACCTTTGAGATCCATACAGATCAGAAGAGTCTGAAATTTTTGGCTGAACAGAGGTTAATGGGTGAAGAACAGCAGAAATGGACCTCTAAACTACTTGGCTACAATTTCATAATCAAGTATAAACCTGGGAGAGAAAATAGGGCAGCAGATGCCTTGTCAAGAAGACCCACCTCACATTCTTTATCCATTGTCACCTGTCAGGAATGGGAAGGGTTGGAGGAGGAGCTACAGTCAGACCCTAAATGCCAAGAACTGATTCAGCAGGTGATATCTCAACCTGATAATTATCTACATTTTCAGATGATTAAAGGGTTATTATATCACAAAGGGAAGATAGTTCTGCCAAAACAGTCTCCTAGAGTACTTAAAGTTCTGAGGGAATATCATGACTCCGCTGTAGGAGGACATTCAGGGTACTTTCGGACAATGAAGAGAATCACCAACCTATTCTACTGGCATGGTATGAAATCTGACATCAAGAAGTATGTAGAAGGGTGTTCAGTCTGTCAAACCAACAAGTATCAAGCCCTTAAACCAGCTGGGTTGATACAACCACTACCTATACCCAATAAGATCTGGACAGACATCAGCATGGATTTCATAGGGGGCCTTCCCGAATCCCAGGGGTGTGATACTATCTTAGTGGTAGTGGACAGACTAACAAAATATGCTCATTTCTTAGCCCTTTCCCACCCTTTTAATGCTAAGGGTGTAGCTGAACTATTCACTAAAGAGATGGTGAGAGATTACATGGTTTTCCAAGGACTATTGTGAGTGACAGGGACAGCTTATTCATGGGGGTTAGGTCACCAATATTACTAATTATAAGAGATTTGACAAATATAAGACCTCTTTCTAATTCTTCCAAAAAAGAGACCACCGTGTGATCACTTTGTGAGTTATAGTGTTATACGAATAAAATATCAAATATACCCCTCCCTAATTAATACTCTATACAAGAACTAAATACGTATGTACCAGTGCCACCATATCATTCTTTGAAAAATGCCCCAGGCAATTAAGATAATCGAATCCAACCAATTATACTTATCTAACCCCATCAATCATAATTTTTCGATTCGATCAGTTACAGTTATTCGATTCATTCAGTCACAGTTACTCGACCCGTCGTCCAGTTACAGTTATCTTTTCCGTCCAATTACAGTTACCCGACTCGTCGTCCAGTTACAGTTACCCGACCTGTCATCCAATTACAGTTATCCGACCCGTCGTCCAGTTACAGTTACCCGATCCGTCCAATTACAGTTACTCAACCCGTCGATCCAGTTACAGTTACCCGATACGTTCAGTTACAGTTACTAAATTACATTACTCGGTTCGATAGTGACCATCGTTAGCCACCATCGTTGGTACCCACCGATGGCCACCGCCACGATGACAAACGTTATAGTGACTTCCGCCCAATGAATAATTGACATAGTGACTCCCGTCTCGTGTCTCGTGACTCCCACCGCCCGTTCAGTGATCACGGCCGCCCGTCCGGTGACAACATCTGCCCGTCCAGTGACCAACACCCCTCTTCCAATGACCACCGCCCCACCCATTACATTTACTGCCGCTTGTCCATTACCCGCCGCTCCACCGGTTCTATTTACCACAACCCGTCCGGTGACCGCCGCTTGCACCCGCCCTTTCTCAGCCACCACCGCTTCACTAGTCTCTCCCGATCCCCGGTCGCCATCATAGCACACCCACCAGCCCCTGTCCCGCCACCTGCCCAGACTCAGCCCCCGCCCCAAATTCAGCCCCTGTCCCGCCACCTGCCCAGCCCCGGCCCCAGACTCAGCCCCTGCTGATAGGAACTCAATACGACAGCCAGTTCAATTTTATAATAAAGTCTACCATAGGAGGAGTAGAAAGGCAGTTAGTCATGACTAACTAGCCTGTTAGTTTTGTTGTTCCCTGTGTGGACAATTTTACTATAAATAGCTTATGGACTAGAAGAAGTAGGCTGTTAATTTGTCATTGGCTGGTAGCTTGGAGATTGGGCATCTCGAACTGTCCCACCCCTGTACTCCTTTACCGACTTTCTCTCTCTCAATAAAGTGTTGTGATCTGTTCTAGCTACATTTTCCTTAGAATTGTGATTGTTCTGTGTTCATTACTACCAGTGTTCTATCATTGGTATCAGAGCAATTGTTCTGGTGATCGGAAAATTCGTAGAAGCATCGCCAGAAAGTTTTTTCTCTCGATCGGAATTGTGAATGGTTCGAACGAAAGGCAAAATGGAAAATCTAAGGGAGGAGATGGAACGTAGCAGAATAGCGACTGAGGAAACACTGTTACACATGAGAACGATGATGGATAACATGACGGTAAGAATGGATGCTATGAGCGAGGAATTCCGCGCAAGTAGGAGGTCGCGATCTCGCCATCATCATCGTCGACAGACTTCGCACAGCCCTGCGACTTCTAGAGGTAACTCAGTATATTCTAATATCCATAATCACCTTCGTACTGAGGAGCATGTGAGATTACCTGTACGTACTGGAAGAAAAATTGAATTACCATTGTTTAATGGAGAGGGAGCTTACAACTGGATAATACGAATGGAGAGATATTTTAGATTGAATCAGATTGCTGAAGAGGAGAAGGTGGAAGCATCTATGGTCGCCATGGAGGACAGAGCTTTGAATTGGTTTCACCTGTGGGAAAATCAGACGGAAGAAACAAGTTGGGAGGTGCTGAAGAAATCTGTTATCCGTAGATTTCAACCGGAATTACTTCAAAATCCGTACGGGCCTATACTCAGAGTGAAACAAATGGGAACAGTGGAGGAATACAGAGCAGAATTCGAAATGGTGATAGCACCACAACAGAATATGGATACAGAGTTATTGAGAGGAATTTTCATATCAGGCCTCAAGCAGGAGATCAAATCTGAGCTGAAACTGTTTGCTTCCAGATCGTTGACTGAAATTATGGATAAGGCCATTCTAATTGAGCAGAAGAATGAGGCCAAATATTTGAAGAGAAAAGAGGAGGATAAATTTTCTGGGAAGGAGAGAGGACCGTTGCCTATGAAGAATCAGAATTGGGGTGAAGGATTCAGGAGCAGATTTGGCAATTCCTGGTCAAATCAGAGAAAAAATGGGGCTGAAGACAAGAATAACAATGCTTGGTTTGATAAAGCAGGGCGGAAGATTACTGAAATACATCCCTCTGGCATCAGAAAAGTTGGACCTCAGTTGTCACAAGAAGAATATCAGGAAAGAAGCAGGAAGGGACATTGTTTTAAATGCGGAGAGAAATGGAATAGGGATCATACTTGTAAACTGAAAAACTATAAGTTGATTCTGGTAGAAGATTCTACAGAAGAAGAAAATTCTGATGGGGGAGAAGGGGAAATTCATGTAGAAGAGGAGACTAGCATGGAATCAAAATCAATGCAGTTATCACTCATGAGTAAGGAAGGGATTCCTTCCATGAGAGCTTTCAAGGAGAAGGGTTGCTTGAAATGGGAATTGGGAGAAAAAGAAGTGGACATACTCATTGACAGTGGAGCTACTCACAACTTTATATCTCAAGGGATAGTGAATAAACTCAGGATACCTTACACTACTATTACAGGGTATAAGGTACAGATTGGCAATGGTGACAAACTGGTTAATAATGGGAGGTGTGAAGCATTAACTGTAGATTTACAAGAAGCAGTAATTCAGCAGGATTTTTATATCCTGGAACTCGGGGGTACTGATATGGTGCTTGGGATGGAATGGTTGACCAGCTTAGGAGATGTAGAAGTCAATTTTCAAAAACAGGTGATCAGGTGGCAGGAGCAAGGGAAGAATCAAATAATACAAAGGGATCCACATTTGAATTCTCTGGAGGTATCTTTGAACACCATGACTCAGATTCTAAATGATGCAGGGGATGGTTATTTGATTCTTTGTGAAGGCAAGTCTGTGGAATTTAAAAAAAGGGAAGAAACAGATGAAACTTGGAAGCAGATTTTGGCAGAGTTTCCAGAAGTTTGCACACCTTTGAAGACACTTCCTCCCAGCAGATCATGTGACCATGCAATTAATATTCAGCAAGGAGCACAGATCCCAAACATAAGGCCCTACAGGGCAGATGCTTTTACCAGCTCTGAGGCTCTAGAAGTTTTAGAGCAGCCTGAAGGAATAATCCTCCAAAGAAATGACAACAAGATGCAGGAATTACTTGGATGGAGTGAAAAGCCAAAGGTGAAGGAAGTAATGATGAAGATCCAAGCACAGAAATCAGTAAAGTATTGGGAAGGGAGAGGTGCAAGAATGAAGTGGAAGTGGAAGATCATGGTTGTTCCCTATCACCCAACTTGAGGACAAGGTGGTTGTTTAGGGGGGGAGTATTGATAGGAACTCAATACGACAGCCAGTTCAATTTTATAATAAAGTCTACCATAGGAGGAGTAGAAAGGCAGTTAGTCATGACTAACTAGCCTGTTAGTTTTGTTGTTCCCTGCGTGGACAATTTTACTATAAATAGAAGCTTATGAACTAGAAGAAGTAGGCTGTTAATTTGTCATTGGCTGGTAGCTTGGAGATTGGGCATCTCGAACTGTCCCACCCCTGTACTCCTTTACCGACTTTCTCTCTCTCTCAATAAACTGTTGTGATCTGTTCTAGCTACATTTTCCTTAGAATTGTGATTGTTCTGTGTTCATTACTACCAGTGTTCTATCACCTGACCCGCCACCTGCCCAGCCCTGGCCCCAAATTCAGCCCCAGACCCAGATTCAGCCCCAAACCCAGCCCCAGCCCCAGCCCCAACCTCAACCCCAGAGCCAGCCCGGATCCAGCCCCCTCCCTAGCCTCTCATCCCATCGCCTCACCCACCAACCCCCCCCCCCTCCCGCCACCGCCTTCCCAAACCCCTATGCCCAACCCCTGCTGTCGCATTCGCCGGGCAAAAAATTGTGTCTCCACCATCAAAAAAAGAAAAAGAATAAGATCGAGTGGTGTAGGGAGATGGCGAGGTCCGGAGAGGAACTTGGTGATGGCGGCGTAGATGTTTTGGTTGCCGGCGATGACGAATTCTTCGAAGAAGAGACTGCGCTGCGGACGAGTTTGGAGGCTGAGCCTGAGATCTGTGATGCTAACTAAGAGAGTAAGAGACGGAAGTGATGCAAATTTAATATTTGAGGGCACTTTGGTCTCTGCAGCTTTTTTTACTCTCTTTTGTGTCCATACGTTAATCAGGTTTATTTTTGTCAAGTGTAAAGCCCATTGTCTTACTTTTGTCATTATTTCTTATTCATGAGCTCGTTCTGGTCAGAGCTGTTTAGGTTGGCAGGCACTCAGCTCAGATTTAGTACTGCCTACCACCCCCAAACCGATGGACAAACTGAGGTGGTGAATCGATGCTTAGAAACCTACCTGAGGTGCCTGACAGGAAGGAAGCCCAAGCAATGGAAACAATGGCTGCATTGGGCTGAATTCTGGTATAACACAAATTATCATTCTTCTTTGAAACTAACACCTTACAGGGCTCTTTTTGGGCAAGATCCCCCTGCAGTTATTAGGGGTGATGTAACCCTAACCGCTGTAGAAGAGGTGTCTCAGTTAACAGCTCAAACAAATGCTATGTTGGAGGAACTAAAGAAAAATCTAGCTGCAGCTCAGAACTTAATGCAACAACAGCCAATAAACATAGAAGGGAGGTGCAGATGGAGGTGGGAGATTTGGTGTATTTAAAGATACAGCCTTACAAATTGAAGAGTTTAGCAAAGAGGATAAACCAAAAGTTAAGTCCCAGGTTCTATGGGCCTTTTGAGATCCTGGAAAGGATAGGAGCTGTAGCCTACAAACTCAAGCTGCCAGATGACAGCAAAATCCACCCAGTATTCCATGTTTCTCTACTCAAAAAAGTGTTATCACCTAACACTTCATTTCAGCCTCTTCCTGAGTGCCTCGATGAAGAAATGGAGTTGCAGGTTGCCCCTGAAGAAGTGGTGGATACAAAAGCAAATCCTGAAGGAGAAGTTGAGGTTCTGATACATTGGAAGGGCGTCCCCAGTTTTGAAGACTCTTGGGAACCTAAGCAGGTGATACAAGAACTCTTCCCAGATTTTCACCTTGGGGATACGGTGAATCTTCAGGGGGGGGGGGGGGGGGGGGGGTATTGATAGGCACTCAGCCCAACCACCTATTAAATATTATAATAAAGTGTACACAAGGAGAGAGAGGAAGGTAGCTATTAATTAGCCAATCAGTTAGTTACACTATTTTGTCCCTGCGTGGACCATTTACTTTAAATAGCAACCTAGCGGCTAAGTTTGGGTAGGCTGTTATTTGATATTATGTGTTGCCTTGGAGAGTGGTCCTCTCGAATAGACTGGTTGCCTTGTTACCTACGGTTATCCTCTACTATCAATACATATTTTATCATCTCTTTTGATCAGATCTGTGCCATGGTTTATCGCTTTAGATTTCTCTTTTGCTTGTACCTATCAAACTATGAATTTACAAAAGATATAGTAGTAAATTTTAGGCTCACATAGTACTCACCCCATAATACGAGTTCATAAACAAACAATATGAAGTTATAAATGGAATTTAAAACACAAAATAAAATGTCTACATTGTGCTGCGATTTAACCAATAGTATATTCTAGAGTATGAAGAATAGCATGCAACTTGCAACCTTTTCATGGTTTCTAGATTAGAGCAAATACTATTATAAGTATTTTATAAAATCCGCAATTCTTTTCGATAATTTATTTAATTGACTTCCCGATTGAATTTTAAGCTGAAATTTGTGGACACTACACTTCATGAAGAACATTCTCACAAAATTTCATAAAAAAATCCACCGGGAACCACCTCAAACAGCGGATTCCGCACAGCGGTTCTGGTCAGGAGCTTCTAACAGGAACAGTACTCTTTGTCAGAATAGCAACCATACATAACCTTCAGGTTGATGATAGATCCATTATCCATAGATATTGTTTCTTTTTATAGGAAAAGTAGATTTACTTTGTCAGAAATTTCCAAAACTCCCAGAGTCCCAGTTAATAATATTTGTTAACTCAATATGATACTTAAACATACTATTATTCAGAATATCTCTACTTCTCAAGAAGAAGGAAGAAAAACATTGGCCAATTGAGCTTACAACTTGAAATGTCAAAATGCCTACATTTGAATTATATGAAGTAGTGCGTGTTTTGTATCTTGTGAGTCATGTTTATCTATATGTTGCATGCTATTATCAATAAAATGGGTACAGAGACAGAAAAGCATGTGCCTGTCCAGATATATTCAAAAGTACCTCCAGAAGCTCAGATCCCCAAGGTGGACTTGTTCGAAGAGAGTGTCTGTCATACTCAATGAAAAGCTCCCTAATTCCCTCACTGATAGGATACAAGGAGGAACACAGTCGTAGGCGGAGTTTGAAGATGCTCTTTCCATCCTCTATGTAATCTATCCTTTCCTGAGAAAGAATCACGAGACCATAATAAATTGATGTATAGTCATACAGAAAAACAACTACTAGAATAATAGTAAACATAGTCAGGATAATTGTTGTTTCGTTGTCACATAACTATGATACTTTTTTGTACTGAAAATAACAAGATCGACAACCTTGTCACATTTGCATTTCATCCATGTACCCCAAAATGTGCATGCGTGCATGCGCACACATTTCAGGGATGCTGTAATCTGAGTGCTGTTTTCAATATTCTTCATAAAATTACTTAATTATTCAACACGGTTAAAGAGCCACTCCTACGTCTTGTTTTGGAGTTTTCTGACAAAAAATCCTGTGAGGTGTGAGTATAGGTGTTTCATACTCCAGCTCTTTGCCAGTTGCCTATTTACTTTTTCCATTCTTTAGTACAGGGATAAGGCTGTGAACATCCGACCCCCCCTACCCCACCATAGGTGGGAGCCTTTACGGCACTAGGATAATGTTGTTGTTGTTGAGAAGTTTTCCAGCAAAACCATTGCTGACACACATTTCTTGCCCATCATACAAGTTACAACATTAACATTGTCATGCTCCGGGCGGGAAACTGGAAACGCTGGAAACGTCATTTACGAAATATATAGGAAACGAAACATGGGGCAAACGTGCAAATAATAAAAACATAGGGACTTTTTTATAAATAAATAAATAAATAATACACACACACTAAACACATAAATGTGTTTATAATAAAAAAATATGCGTATATATAAATAATAGATACACACACACACTAATGACTAAACACAGAAATATCAAACTTGCACCTTAGATATTACTCGTATAGTAGTATGAAAATTAAAGTAGCAACTTTCGCTGCGTATAGTACTATAGTACTCCACCACTGCCCTATTCCTATACTACGTATATCATGCACATTTATATGTTTAAACGAATGAAAAATGTTTAATAAATTTCATAATCACTTAGTGGACAGCTGGACATCATCAAGTTCACCTACTAGGCCAAGTCTACAACATTACTCATACTACTCGTACGTTTAATTTCAACCCCAAATCCCACCCACCGACTCAGGGGAGAACTGTGCTGTCGAGAAACCAAACCAGACCCAAGTACAAACAGAGCCGGACAGCTTGAGATGGCAGATAACACAATAAACATAGCAGAAGGAGAAAAGATTGTGACTTTCCTTGACCTGCTGAAGACGAAGAGCGCAGATACTAATAGGATCTTCGCTGAAGACGGCCAATCACTGAAGAAGAAGTCCGCAGATACTCCGCAAATTCCTAATTTCTTTGGTTTTTCTTTTTTGGTGAAACTCTGTTTTTGGGGGAAACGGGTAACCACACTTTTGAAAATTAAGAAACAGGCCCGACACGCGCTTTGGACGTTTCTCGCGTTCGGAAACGTCAAGTGAACCAATTCTGGATGAGATTTTCCATGGGATGGTGGTATGCTCTAGTTTTGTCGCCAGTCTCTGCCATGGCTGCTATTTGAAAACATTGGCTCGTACATATGTGCTATGCCCCTAGTTATAAAGTTTCGCCCATTTATGTAGTACTGTTACTCTTTATGCTTTCATCCATATTACATGGAAAGTAACTTCCCAAGTGAAGTTTTATTCCCTAGCCCCCTTCATAAGTTGCAATTGAAAACTTTAAGGTGTTTATATTGTTTGGCACACTATCCCAGTTGTAAGAAACTCCTGGCCAACTCTGTTGGGTAGTTCATGGTAGCGAAAAGGATGAATATGATTTTGTCCTAGAAACACAGGAATTGTACGAGTCAATTGCTATTAACTTTTAAAGTCTACACTATTCTTCAAATCTAATACCAAACAGATCTAGGCTCAGCCCTTAGATATCCTTCTTGTGCCAATATGGCCTCAATGCATTATTGATGCTTTCTTGGGCCAAACATATTCGAGGAGCCGTTTAGGCCGAAGAGCTACACAGATGGGCAAAAATCAAACCATGATGACCACCCAAAGTGGCTACTTGGGCAAAGTTTATTTATTTAGTTATGCTTATTTCTTACTTCTAGGTCTAGCGAGTCTCTTTAAATTAAGTTATACACCTATTATAGTATAAGGACTTTACATCTCTTTTTTACATTAGCACAAATGTAATAGCTATTAGGGTCCTCAGTTAATCTAATAAAGTACTAATAAAGTACTTTTCAAATAATGAATTCCTGTGCGTCTTGACTAGGTCGATTATGGAATTAAATTCAACCATGCACCTTGTTCATTTTTTTTTCTCCTCTCGCTTCATCACAGATCCAAAATGTTTGCTCCCCGTAAAGTCTAGTTGGTTTCCCTTCTCTACCTCTCGGCCTGGGATGATATTGTGTATGCACACTCTTTAAAGGCGTGAAGTGAAGCACAAACTGTGGGAACTCGATAAATTTCTCCATGTACACTTATTATCAATGAAACAAGCAATGACTCGTTGTTACTTGTAACATATGCAGGATATGTTCATTTATCTCCTAAGTTGGCACTTCCTCCAAACTTATATCGTATGTTAGTCTCTACTCTCTAGTTCCCCTATAGCTAGTTGAATACAGTCAAATAGGTAACAAGCCTACTCATAAACATTATCTAATGCAAAACTGTGTAGACTTCCATTGTTTATTTCCATCATGATAATCGTCACAACAAGATGAAATCCTAGACTTCGAGAATTCTAGAGGAAGGATATTGTAGTTTTACTATCGAACCCCTACAAGGCCCTTTGTAGACCTCGGGGAAAGTAATGCTTCATACCTGTTTCAGGCTTTCAGCCACAAAAATTGGTTTCCTTACAAGAGATGAAACTACAAAAAACCTAACACCTCTACAGGATATGCTGTTGCAACATAAAAAGGATATAATCCAATTCAACTTTCAATTGACTATTGTATCATTGACACTTTTGGTACTCGACTTTTAATTTTTCCAATTCTAGACCTCAAACTATTGTGATAGAGACATTTTTAGTCTTTGACTTCAAAGTTTCCCACATTTAGTCCTCTGAGTATTATCAAATTGACACTTTTAGTCCTTTCACTATGATTTTGGTACAATAAATAGAGGACTAAAAATGTCATTATTATAATAGTTGAAGGACCAAAAGTGTCACTTTTATGAAAGTCAGAGGACTAAATATGGAAATTTTCAAAGACATGTACCAAAATCATCTCTAGCAAGATAGTCAAGGACTGAAAGTGAAAAAAATTAAAGTCGAGTACCAAAAGTGTCAATGGCATAATAGTCGGAGGACTAAAAGTGACAAAAACTCGTCTCACTAGCATTGCAGTAAGAATCACCAACTAGGTTTCGTTGATCCTGATTAAGAACTATGCTGTGTTTGAAGGTTTACTTTCTTTCCTGCTACCCTCTATTAATCCTTGAGACCCTCACTAGTTGTTAGATCTCACTATGCCACCTAATGGGTGCCTATTGCTCTTTACGTACTGATCATCAAGGATTAGTAATCACATTGATACAACAACAATACCCCGGTTCCGTACAGCCTCTCACCTACGGTGGGGTAAGAAGGTCAGATGTACGCATCCTTATTCTTGTACTAAAGCAGAGAGAGACTATTTTCGGATGATCCATGATGAAAATTGCATGGACTGACTGTTGTTTCATACAAAAAAGTGCAAATAGTTTAATGAGTCATTTTGTTTTATTCCATTGTATTCCTAAGCCAAAAAATAGTGAGTCTTTTGCTCCATTGGAAACGATGGGAAAAAACTAATCACACTGATAAGTAAAAGAATTAGCTGAATTACACTACAGTTCAATCTAAGAAAACTTTAATTGATCCACCTTGATTTTCATTCTAACTAGCCACTAAAGAAAAATACCTTGAGTAACCCTCAAAATTTTAAGGCATATAGTGATATAAATGAAGAGATTAATTTTTAAATTTAGTGTCAAATGTTCCACCTTCAACAATCTTATAGTATTCAGTTTTCAAATTCAATAGTCACTCCAGAATTACCCTAGATGGTAAGGAGATACCTTCAGTGATATGTTCCGTTACTTGGACTCCATAATTCAGAAGGACGGTGAATTAGATGGAGATGTATCACATAGAATCAGAATAAGGTGGATAAAATGGAAGAGTGCATCACGATTTCTATGTGATTGATAAATGCCGACTAGAATGAAGGGTAAATTTTATAGGACAACAATTATGCATGCATTTACTGTATGACGTAGAGTGTTGGGCAGTAAAACAGTGTCACATTCAAAAGATGAATGTGGCAGAGATATGCATGCTGCAATGGATGTGTGGACATACTAGAGTGCTTGCAGTGGTTTGGTCATATGCATAAAGACCAAGTGATGCACCTGTCAGACGAGTTGAGAGGTGTGGAGAAGAGACAAGGAAGAGAGAGGAAGACCCAAACAGACGTAGATTAGAGGAGTCAGAAGTGATATGCTTCTTCTTGGGTTGGATGAGGGTATGTCTTTAGATAGAGCAAAGTCGAGGGCAGGTATTCATGAGGCGGAGTGATCTAATATCATCTTTTTCCCCTCATATTCTTTTTCTTTCTTGTGTTTTTATTTATCCTTTTATCTTTATATATATATATATAGAGTCCCGTTCACATACATACGTATGTATAAGAACCTCCGTGCGGACAACGTCGTCAGAGGCCCTTCCAGGTGGAATTTTTTGATGAAATATTTTGACCATGTTCTTCATCACGTCTAGTTTATGCCCACCAAATTTCAGCTTAAAACTCCATCGGGGAAGCAGTTAAATAAATTATCTAAAAACAATGCACCAAAGTATACATATAAAAGCGCAGTGTTTTTCAATAATTTATTTAAGTGCCTTCCCGATGGAGTTTTAAGCTGAAATTTGGTGGGCATATACTAGACGTGATGAAGAACATTCTCAAAACAATTCGTCAAAAAAATCCACCAGGAAGAGCCTCTGGCGTTGTCCGCACGGAGGTTCCTATACATACGTATAGGAACGGGACTATATATATCCCTTTTACGTAGTATCTTTTTATTTTACTCCCTCTGTATTTTAATGTTCCTTACATTAACTTTGGGCACACAATTTAAGATGAAATAGTAGGGGTAGAGTAAAGTGATAAAGTAGGAAAAGAAGATAAATGATAAAGTAGAATATAAATAATAAAGCAGGTGAGAAAATGTAATTAAAAGAGTAGTGGGGTAGAATGAGGGTAAAAGGATAAGGGTAATAATGTATTTTCATAGATAAAACTTTCCTTAATGGGAAAGTGTGGGGAACTTTTAAATACAGCCCAAAAAGGAAAGTGTAGGGAACTTTTAAATACGGAGGGAGTATCATTTTTATGTAAACCCTATCTCTTTTTATATTATCGTTTTTATCATAGCTTGTCTTTTTACCTTTTTTATCTTTCTTTTCCTTTTGGTTCCGATATCATGTATCGATTCATTTAGTCGACCCCAAAATATTTTGGAACTAAGGCTTGGATGTTGTTGTTGTAATAGTCACTCCAGGAAGTCTCATTGCATCTGATCTGTGTGTCAAAAAATCAATACCTCAAGCATTTGCATACACGGATGACACAAGACTGGTCTTGTGTTTCCCACACAGCATCCCTTGTAAGTTATGCACACATAAGATGATATTTCATTGGCTCTCTCTAGTTACTTGAGAGAAGAAAAAATTGCTCTCAAATAACTATTGCTTAAAATATCAAGAGAGAATTAATTACTTATTATCCTTCTCCATCTATAAATACTACATAGTACTTTAAACCATCAGTAGGTGTACAAAAGTGGTATCATAGTATTTTTACCGGCTTAAACTTTTTTTACTACTTCCTTGATATGTGTGCGCTAACACGTAATACAATGCTTAAAAGGGAAAAGAGTAAGATTAGTAAATCAAATGCTTGGCCCAAATGAGGCAACACAAATCCACAACATGTAACGTATCTTATCAAAATGTCTGTCCTCTAATACGTTCTTAACTCTTCACATAAGAAAAAGGAGCCTGACAGACTACTAAAAACATACCTTGCCAATGTCTTGGAGATAATGAGGAACTAACTCTTTTAAAATGGGTATCGAGATCTCGGATTTGAGCCTGAATTCAAGAACAATCATAAAAGCTAGTCATTAGATTTAAAGTAGTAAATTTGAATTGTCAAAAACCCATTTCATTCTCAAAGCTAAATTGCATATTAGAAAGATGTATTAATAAGTGGTAAGTATGCAACTATTAAGCCATTTCTTCAATATAAGAAAAAAACATAATGCCACTAACATGTCTAAGAAGTATATTAATTATTATACTATTTTCTGTTGGGATTTGGGAATTAATTGAGATTCATTGGACATAATAACAAAGGAAATATTAGGTTACCCATGCAACGTGAGGACTTCAACAACAACGTAAAAGTGTCTTCCTCTTGCAAATGAGGCATTTATCTACTCCCTAATACAGATATTAACCTAGAGAAGCTAACATCACACACGTAATCTACGAAGATGAAGAGAACCTTTTCTCAAAATACAAATGGTCACACCAAGTCCTCTCACACTAGGTGAGCAAGCTAGTTCTGACGTATAAACAGCTATACCTCTTTAACTTGATTCACTTAGCATCAAATATAAGTTTTTTAAGGTATCAACAAACAAAGGGATGATATAATCCACTTAGTTTGGAGACAACAACAAATGAGCTTTAATATCAAATCACTAAAGGTACTACAAGATTTACATGAAAAAAGGGATACCGATATAGGTAAACCAATATCGTCATATCCCAATCATTGTTGCAATGCACCATGTGTTACTGGTGTCTTATTCACCTCCTCTGCATCATTTCTAAATCTACCGTGATTCCTCTTTAAGCCTCCAATTTCCAAATTTCGAATAATCCCCTCTTCTCACTAAGGAACTTACCACTCAATGAAAAAGTTTTTCCTTAAATTTTCCTCATTGGTCACAACTCACTACCGTTGTTAGTGAAACTCATTGTGAACTTTATCTTTTATGAGCATACCACACATCCACCTTAACATGATTATCTCTGCTGCACTCATATTCTTCATTAAACCGGTCTTAATAGCCTAACATTTTGATCTGAACCGCTGAGATCGCAACCAATAAAATTTACCTCTTAATCACTAATATTGAAAGAAATGCTCACTAATAACTCTTCCTCATCCAGTTTTACTCTACTTAGTCTTTATCTATAAGGATTCTAAATGTTCAATCTATGTACTCTGCCTTACTTTGACTTATGCTATGATAAAAAATATTTATCTCCAGACCCCAACTCCAAACTACTCTCAACCAACATGAATACATATGCTAACAACACACCAAGGACAAAATCCTGGGTACCCTTGGTTAACTCTTCCATGAAAATTGTGAATGAGATAAAAGGATTAGTCATCATTGTCATTCATCATTGTCATTACCCCAGTGCCGCAAAAGCTCCCACCTATGATGGGGTAAGGGGGTTCGGATGTACGCAGTCTTGAGAGACTGTTTCCGAATGAACAGTGATGTACTGTTCATTCTACAGCATATGAATACATATGCTAACACACCAAGGACAAAATTATGGGTACCCTTGGTTAACTCTTCCATGAAAATTGTGAATGAGATAAAAGGAATAGTCATCATTGTCATTCATCATTGTCATCACCCCAGTGCCGCAAAAGCTCCCACCTACGATGGGGTAAGAGGGTTCGGATGTACGCAGTCTTGAGAGACTGTTTCCGAATGACCCATAGTGAAAATCGTGTCGAAAATTGCATGGATTGACTGTTGCTTCATAACAAAGAAACACATACACTTTAGTGAATCATTTTGCTTTATTCCATCATATTCTCAGGCCAAAAAATTGTGAGTCTTTGGCTCCATTGCAAATGATGGAAAAAGATAAAAGGATTAGTATTTATCTTTAATGGAATCCAATTGTGATTGAAATTTTATTTTTACACATTAACATGTTCTTATCTTTATCTTCATTTCTCAATGCACATTAGACTTTAGACTTTCGAATAAAATTGAACTTTGAACTTCTTTGAGCATCTGAACTTAAAATTGAACATTTGAACTCAACCGGTGCTCCACTTTGCATCAGAACGTGAACTCTAATCTTAACTTATCTTTAACACTAACATAACATTACATAAACTTAACTATAGCCAATGCCGACTCCATTTCCCTTTTCTTCTAGCTTTTCTTTTTCTCCCTTTCCCCATTTTGGTAAGTTTGGGAGTCTATCAACTTCTCGTGGTCGATGTTCATAAAGGTTCGTGTCCATGGCAATAAAAAGCTTCTCCCTTTCTGGTATATTTTAAACCACAACCAGTAAGTCTTCTTCTAGGCCCTATTGAGGTACATACGCACACTTGACAATAGCATTCATCATCATTATTGTCATTACCCCAGTGCCGTGAAAGCTCCCACCTATGGTGGGGTAAAGGGGTGTCGGATGTACGCACTCTTACCTCTGTACTAAAGCACAGAAATTGTTTCCATATGACCCATAGTGAACTTAGCGTCGAAAATTGCATGGACTGACTGTTACTTCATAACAAATAAGCGCATACAGTTTAGTGAGCCATTTTGATTTATTACATCATATTCCCAAGCCAAAAAAAATAGCGAGTCTGGCTCCGATGCAAATGATGGAAAAACAATTGACAATAGCATTATTATCTTACAAAAATAAATCCTAGTTCTCATAAAGTACACCCTTCACAAGTCCCTCCATGTGTACCAAACCTTATATCCTCAGAGTGTGATAACACTAGCCTTATTACCAATCCATTTAAGTGGATTCTTGACACAAAATGAACTCTAGCCTTATTGGCAATCCATTTAAGTTGATTCTTGACATAGAATGTTAATGCTTCTCATTTTCATTACTTCCAACTCTGCCAACTTGGTCTCTATCCATGATCTAAAAAACTAAAAGCAGGGTGTGTTTGACACTACACCTAAGGCATTGATGACAAAAGGAAGCCTTGTCAATCAAATTTAAATTGACTTCCAATAGTTGAAATTAGCGCATGTGAGGCTCAAAGTCTCAAATGCATAAATGAAATAATGAATAGTGAATCATGTTCTTTTTGGGGTGTCTTTACTCATAGTAGTACTTAAGCAATTACATTGTAGAAACCTTTTACTCCGAACAAGAAATGCAGTCAACCAAAGGAACCAAAGTAAGCAGCAACATGATAACTAAATTCTTCCAAGGTAACAGGATTGCAACATTTAAATCAGTTTCACAAGACATATCATTGTTTGGAAGACTGGGGAGATAAAGTGTGATGGATCAACCGTACAAAAAAAGCAGAACCTGAAGAAAATAGACTTACTGAGCATAAGCGGATAAAGGAAGTGAAGCATATCCAATCACTACCTGCAATAAAAGAAAAGAATAAATATATGTATATGCACAGTAATTGTTCTTTAAGAATTACTGTACTCTTCTGTTTATTATGTTTGGGACAAGGGAGATGGCACGTAATTAAGGAAAAATACAATTATGAGGTTGGAATTGAATTTTTATAACAATGGATGAATTTGAGCCCTAAAGATGGCCTAATGGGACAAACATTTTGAGATGGAAAACAACATCAACAACAACCCAAGCCTTTTTCCCAAAAGAACTTGTGGTCGGCTAACATGAATTGACATTTGACATTGGACCTAAAAATAATTTATAGAGAATCCTCCACACGTATACTCTTCATCCACTTCACTCTCTCGAAAGTCATATTCTCTTATAACCCAAGAAGTACCATAGCATTCGTGACCACTCTAATCCACAACTATTTAGGTAGTCCTCTCCCTTTCCTTCTTGCCTCTTCTCTCACCTATCAATTTGTCTAAGAGATGCATCACTCGATCTTCTGCACATGGCCAAACCACTACAATCGAGACTCACATCTTATCTTCAATAGGTGCTACTTCCACCTTTTGCCTGATTATCTATTTCTATGTTCATACATCAATTCATCAAACACAACATGCGCATCTCAATCACACTCATTTTTTGAATGTGACATTGTTTCATCACCCAACACTCTGTGTCATACAATAATGCAAGCCTAATTGTTGTCAGCTAAAACTTACTCTTCAGTTTAGTCGGGATACGTCGATCACATAGAAATCCTGACACGCTTTTTCATTCTTAAACGGACCCGAATGAGAAAATGGGACAAACAAATGGGATGAATGGAGTAATCTATTTGACACGGATTGGTGAGCCAGACAAAGTAAAATTAAACCTAGAAAATAATAAACCTAAAGAATATGAACCAAACAAAGAACATCTAAACCTAAAGAATAATAAAGGAAAACTACGTGGCAAGGTAAGATCATGCTCTCCTTTAAAATTCTAAACAATACTCACTGGTTTTGGAGCTTCAAGCTTTGTTTGAAGGTCAACGTGAAAAAAAGTAAACAAAAGGTGATGCATTGGTGTACAAATTGCAGGCAAGGAAACTTTGATTTCATCATGATAGCTGCCAACTCTAGCTCCAACAGCAACTTGTGTATGAACCCATTTCTGAAGTGATGCACCCGGTTCCTTGGGATGCATTGCCTGTTACATAGTTGTTAATTCAAATATCAACTACGCTTCAGTCCACAAAAACGAAGAATTATTTAAACAGTCACATGGAAAACTATCTAGGAAGCAACGTTGTACACACTAACCTCAAGAGGTGGATTAGTAATATCAGCATCATCCTTTCTAAGTTCAATCCGTATAAACATATTCCTTTTCCTACTCATGTTTATAGTCAATGGATAAACATAAAGGCAATGAAAAAGCTGCGAGAATGGTTCATTCCTCGTTGTAGTGCGGAAGTCAAAAGCTTCAAACTGTAAATTCACATAGTTAAATCTAAATAAGTTACACTAATAAAACTCAAAGACAAAACTAATATCAAACACAAAATATATAATTTTCTGGATGGGATTGTCTAAATGATTAGTCATTTAAGCTTCTTTCTGAAAAAGCAATTTGAAATAACAACACGCAAAAATTCTCAATCAGCAGTGTAAAAAGACTTGCATCATCTGTAGCAACTTCTGCATTTTCATTGGCAAGTGATCCATTTCTAGACAGCTCTTTCCTCTCAAAAAAATTAGGAGGTCCATTTTCATTAGAATCAGATATCACATTCCCGCTTTCCATGTGATCGAAATCAATACAGTAATTTTGCAGCTTTTCGATTTCCAACCTCAGCACACCTTTTACTGGTTTATGAACCTTTCTCTTAGGATCCTGCAGTTTCACAAATCATATTTAAAACAATGAAATTATCATCTGGAATCTTCAATAGAAAAACATATAGGTAATAGGATAAAATACAAAATCACAATATAATAGTATACAAGTATTTGTGTGTGTATTATGTTATATGTGTGTGCAGTTATTGAGCTTCTGCATTGGCATCTTGACCAAGTTGACACAGCGGCTAGGCGATAAGTCGCACCATATGTAATATTCAAATAAAATAAAATAATATATTACAGATTAAATTATGTATATTACACATAATTCAAAGCAAGAGTTTAATAATTCAGAACAAGAGTACAGTATCAATCTCATGTAAGTAACAAGAACACTTAAATTACAAATTCCTAAAAATAGTATAGAACTATATCTCATCTATTTCAATGGTGACCTGCGACCGCTTGAAGGCTAGAGGGGCGTAGGATTCTGCTCCGAAACAGGTACACGGATGGATAAACCATCCAAATTTAGCATCACGACAGTGACTCAAAGCAACAGAACAACGCCTAGTCGACGCCTAGGAGATTTCAGGTGAGTTAACTCTGCCTGACGCATCTCCGTCGTCACAGGGACACCTAATTGGCATGTAGACGGTTCCGTGATAACTATGATATATGTTTGCGATTATTTACTTATTCAGAAAGACCTTAAATGGCTATGATTAAAGACAAATCTTGTTCAGAAAGTTATACATATTTTAGTTTTTATATTGATTTTAACTTTGAGCCTTGTTAGGGCATGTTTATCCAATTGTTTAAAAACTTACTACGTGAGTTTATAGTTTGAAGCTTTTGACTTCAGCACTACGACTACAAAACAACCATTCTTGCAGCTGTTTCATTGCCTATCTGTCTATTACTTTTTTCAATGTTGCTGATGATTTTTTATAACTACTACGCGCTTGGGTAGCAAAGACCAATGGAGTCTCCAATGTATATATTCACATAAAATGTACCATTTCAGCTGGGTCAGGTTTGGAAACACAATGGTTGGGTCTAATAAGCGAAAAAACTAAGCCGTTGGAGTGATCAAGAGTCTAAATAAATTTTGGACCCTCCTCAGGCGCACACAGATCAGAAGATATATATGCACACAAACATACACAGATGTATAGTAAATTTATACATATATACACACACATATGCAAATATATATATATATATATATATTATACATAGATGCATATATAATTGGGTTTGAATGAGAACATGATCTATGAAGAGAAATATAAACAATTCTGGAGTGTTGGATTCGGGTAAAATGCATTCAAACAACAACATCCAAGCCTTAATCCCAAAAGATTTTGGGTTGGCTAACATGAATCGATCCATGATATTGATCCCAAAAAGATAAAACAGACAAAAAGAAAAAGAAAAGTAAGATAAAACGGGTAAAGATAAATAAATATAAGATATAAATAACAGAAGAATATAAGAAAGACAAAAGATAGAAAGATAAAAGAGCATAAAAAAACTAGAAGATAAAAATAACATAAGAACATAAAAAGATAAAGAAGATAAACGATAAAACAAAACGAGATAGAATCAATCGCCCAAACCAATGTGCGCCCTCCACTTTGCTCTGTCCAAAGCCTTGCTCTCATCCAATCCAAGAAGCCGCATATCAGTTCTGATTCCTCTAATCCAAGTTTGTTTGGGTCTTCCCCTCCCTCACCTCAGTGTCTCTTCTCCCCACCCCTCAAGTCATCAAACAGGTGCACCACTCGTTCTTCTGCGCACATGCCCAAACCACCGCAAACGAGACTCCTCCATCTTATCTTCTATAGGTGTTACTCCCACCTTTTGTCTGATGATCTCATTCCTCAAGCGGTCTTTTCTAGTATGTCCACACATCCGACACAAAATACTCATCTCTGCCACACTCATCTTTTGAATGTGACATTATTTCACCGACCACCACTCTACGCCATACATAAATGTAGATCTAATTGTTGTTCGAAAAAAATTACCTTTCAGTCTAGTCAGCATACCACGATCGCATAGAAATCCTGATGCAATGTTCCATTTCATCCACCCAGCTCTGATTTTATGAGATACATCTTCATCTAATTCACCATCCTTCTGAATTATGGAGCCCAAGTAACGAAACATATCGCACATTGGTATCTCCTTACCATCAAAAGTAATCCCACTGTGGCTACTACTTCTACCTCCACCAAACTTGCACTCCATATACTCAGTCTTGCTTCGGCTCAGTCTAAAACCCTTGGTATCCAATGTTTGTCGCCATACTTCTAACTATGCCTTAACACCCGATTGTGTCTCATCAATCAATACAATACTGTAGGCAAACATCATGCACCACGGTATATCTTCTTGAATCGACTTCATAAGTTCATCCATGACTATAGCAAATAAGAAAAGACTCAGAGCTGATCCTTGGTGCACTCCGATAGTAATATGGAACTATGCGGTCCTAATTACACTAGTACGGGCACTTGTAGTACAAGTCTCATACATATCCATGATGATGTTGATATACTTATGAGATATGCCTTTTCTAGTTAAGGCCCATTAAAGGACTTCTCGAGGTACCCTATACTTTTCTAAGTCAATGAACACCAAATGCAGATCCTTTTAGTGGCCATATACCTCTCCATAACTTGTCTAATAAGGTGAAACAAAAATGTGCAATCATAAATTAGAAAATGTGCATTTGAACTATTTATTATTTTAACCACATATGTGCACATATGAAATTTGCATTACTTTAACTATAAATGTGCACCTCCGTGAGTCATAATGTGCATCGTTCTTAATCGTTCTCATTTCTCACGGGAAGAAGTGCTCTCGCCAGAACCGGACCATATGCATATACACATAAATATATATAGGGAGAGGATCAAAACATATACATATAGAAATTCTCATGCGTAATAGAACACAAAGTAAAAGAAACTTAACTTTTGCAACAAAACATATAAGTTCTTAGTGGTTATTTTTAGTGATATATCTTATGGGTTATTCGGAAACAGACACTCTGTGCTTTTTAATACAGGGGTAAGATTGCGTACATCCGGCCTCCCCTTACCCCATCGTAGGTGGGAGCCTTTGCGGCACAGGGGTAAATGATGACGATGATGATGATTTTATAGTAAAAAAACAATAGGAAGTTATAAGATTTGTGCCAAAAGTCATATTTTTGTTACCATAAGTCACATTCCGCAGGTGAGAAAATAAATATTTATTTCTCACATGTTATTTCCCCGGTGTGTAGGGCATTAATGACAATGCCATTAGTGAAATGTGAATTAATATTAAAGTGAAAATCGTTTTGATAAAATAGGGATTAGTTGAAGTTTGCACCAAAGTCCATTTGAAAACTTAAACTCAAACCGAAGTTTTGTTTGCAAAAATCACTTTTACTTACACCCGGAATGTATATTCTGAATCCAAAATATAAAACAATGATCTTTTGAAAGTTAAAAGCACTTTTGGCTTTCTCAAAATTAAATCCAAATGGGCATGAAGTGTTTCAGTGCACAATGATAATGGTGTAGGTGAAGGCATTTTCAAGATAGATACATATGAGCATGTTTTATGATTTGTTCACTTAACTGTTAGACAATAGTGTCATTTTATGTCATGTTGTTGTAGATAATTGAGTTTAACAGGGTTGTGTAGTTTTGATGTGATAAGTAATAGCATGTTGACGGCTTGACGCAACTTTGAGTGCAATATACCATTGCAGTTCTGTGTGCTTGTCTTTTACTTCATTTTTGGCATTAGTAAGTTATGTGATATTCAATCATAGATGATGGATGTCTGATCTCTTTATGGAGTTATATACACACACAGTAATGGCGGGCCCAGAAGTTTTCTAAAGTGGGGGTACTGCCACTTGGACCCAGAAGTTTCCAAACGTTTACCTGACCAGACTCAAGTCTAAAACATAACAAACCAGCTCAGCAAATCTGAGTCCAAAAGGAAACCTCCTAAATTCATCCCACATATTAGAAGCCTTATCATATCTTTGACCTTTAACTTTAAACAAACATTATTCACGCTTAAATTAGTTAAAAATCATCAATGCGACTTTTCAAAGAAAGTGTAGTAACCATATCAACAACATGCCTAACTGTAAGGATTTGCTTCATCACAACTTCATAGTTGTTTATATTTCTCATTACAATTGGTATATGCTCTTCAACGAAGTTGTTCCTATATCTAATACATAGTACATAGTGATTTTTTTGTTCAGGTAGGGGTGCACGAATTTTTTCTTGAGTACTAATACTAAACTCCGGAGTCAAAAGCGGGGGCACTTGCCCCTCTAGGGCCCCCTAGGTCCTCCACTGTGACACACATATAGGGGAGGGTTCTAATGAGAATCCCATTTAAAATAAGATCTCATTTATAAATGTGAACTTTTAATATCCCCTTTTGATATATCAAATCAAGGGTTAGAATCAACAAGTTGTCATTTTTGTAATAATTGTACAATAATTACAAAAAAGACTTCATTTGAATTTTGAATAATTATAGAAAGGACCGCATATGCATTTTACCAATGATTGAACAAAATGAAAGGTTGTGATTAAAAATTCTCATTATAAGGAGTTCTCATTTTCGGATTAGTTCTCACTAGAACCTTCCTATATATATATGAGGGTGGGGAATTTCCCAAAATAAGTGTTGAACCAATGTGAACTTCCAAAATAAGAGTGTTATATTTTCCCCCCAAAATAGGAGTAAATAATTGTCATCCTAAAATCATTCTTCCATACTTTGACATTATCGGACATCAATATGGCAGTATTTCTCAAACATGGCAATAAATACTCAACTTTAGGGTAAAAGATATAGTGCTCCTATTTTGGAAAAAAAAATCTACTCCTATTTAGAGTAATTTCTAATATATACATATATAGGATACAATTTGATATAGAACATTTCTAATTTTCTATAGGTTTCAAAAGTAAAGAAGAAACAAAATTACATCTAACATTTAGAGGTAAAAACTTTCCATCATTTGCGATGGAGCCAAAGACTCACTATTTTTTGGCTTGGGAAATGGGAATATGATGGAATAAAACAAAATGACTCATTAAACTGTCTGTGTTTATTTGTTATGAAGCAGCGGTCGGTCCATGTAATTTTCGACGCGATTTTCACTATGGGTCATCCGGAAACAGCCTCTCTGTGCTTTAGTACAGGGGTAAGATTGCGTACATCCGACCCCCTTACCCCACGCTAGGTGGGAGCCTTTGCGGCACTGGGGTAATGATGATGATGATTTAGAGGTCAAAAGGTAGAGTCATCTTAAAAGCGCATGCCTGCAATCTGCAGTTCTACTTCTTATTCTTTCTTATAAGTTAAAGAAATTATAATATTAATATGTTTTTCTTCAAATAGTTTCCACGTTAGAGTCGATCGTCGCCTTAAAGGCACCATTATTCCTCGTTATATACATCTTTAAGAAAAACTCTAATCTTTAACTATATTCACTCAGTAAGCCTTCTCTTCCAGAAATGTTATTATGTCACCAACTAAGTACACATCCAAATAATCTACTAACTTTAAACATTCTCTCCATTCACCCTTTCTCTCCAATTACTTTTTTACCAATAATTTCAGCATGCAACCATTAGTTGAATCCCAAAGCAACCAAAAAAGGCGTCTAAAAGGCATTTTTGAGGCACACATTGAGGTTTAAGCCACGAGTAGTTGTATTGAGGCTTATGCCTCGTACGCCTAAAAGCATTTTCGGTGAGGCTTAACCTGGAAGTTTTTTTAAGCTTATGATCTTATCCCAAGCTTATTATGTATAAATGAAATTCAGATTGGGCTTTTTTATTCAATAGTAAGCATGCTTTAAGCCTATCAAAACATTAAGATATATTTGCCACATACAAAAATTAACACAATTTTCTTCACACAGATTTTATTCCTCTGATTTCCCTCAGATAAAAATGTGTCCAATGAGGATAATGAGGCCTATACGTCTCAATTTTAGGTTTAAACACAACATGTGTTTATTGAAGTTTTAGTGTTGTGAAGGTTGACTGTCCGTTTGTTTACCCTAAGTTTAAATTTTGTTTTGTAGTTGTGACTAGTACCCCAACACAAACGGACAAAAAGTGTGAGTAGCGCCTATTGAAGATAAAATGAGAGAGTCTCGATTGTGGTGGTTTGGTCATGAGTGTAGAAGACCGAGTTATGCACCTGTTAGGCGAATTGAGAGGTGTGGAGAAGAGGCGAGAAGGAGAGGGAGAGGAAACCCCAATCAGACGTAGACTAGAGGAGTCAAGAGTGATAGGCTTCTTATTGGATGAGATGAGAGTATGGCTTTGGAGAGCAAATCCGAATGTGGGTATTCATGTGGCAGATTGATCTCTTATCATCTTTTTATCCTTTTATCTTTTTATCCTTTTGTCACATGCCTGTAGCTTTCAATTTTTAAGTGTTCTGCACTTTGAGGCTTATGCCACATGCCGCCTCAAGACTTAAAACTGTCTTTTCAAAATATCAAACATATGTTTTATAACCTAACAGCAGGCAATATAGATGAATTTGAAGTCAGTACGGAAGCACCGAAGTATCAACCATTCAAAGCAACAATCTTTCCTTTGACAAAAACAGAAGTCTTATTAGAGCAGAAAAGATAATCCAAGAACAGGAAAAGTGGGAACTAGTGTAACGGTCGAACATATTGAATCCTCTGTGTAGTATGGAACTGTGGAAAAGTAGACACGGAAAGAACGAGATGACAAATGAAGGATATCAGTTAACCTGGAGTGAGTCCTCTGTGTAGGCTTCTTTAACTTTATTTAAATTAGACACTTCAACAACAATGGAGTTTCCACTGGAATGACCAAGACTTCCCTCCATGGTGATCTTAGCAATTGGCTCTACAACACCTTCTTGACAGCTATATCCTGAAAAGCTTGAAGAAAGGGGACTGCCAGGGGAATTAGATCCAGCAGCAGCACAAATACTGGTATCAAAAAGTGGGATGATGGCCCAGGCAAAAGACTCTCTGTAAGGCATGATGTGAGACCAAACTTGCAATTTCTGTCTCTCTCTCTCAGTCAGATGAACCTGCTCAGATAGAAATTAGTTCAGATTTGAGAACTTGTAAAGAGGTCAGGAACTCATCATCGATTAATAGGGCATAAGTTACTAATAGGAAGAGTATAGTAAAAGACGAGCACAAAGAACTGCAGTGGTATAGTATATTGCACCCACAATTGCATCAGCATGCTATTATTTATCACACAGAAATACACAACCTCGTTAATCGCAATTATCTACAACAACGTGACATAAAACGACACAGTTATCTAATAGTTAAGTGAACAAATCATAGTACATTATCATCTGAATCTTTCTAGAAAGGATTTTATCAATCCAGGATTTGAAAGATAGGTTCACTATCAATAAAGAACCTGAAAGATGAAGTGTGTCAATATAGGGTCCGAATGACTGAAAACTATCAATCTAAGACCTGAAATTCCATGCATTCTAATATTTTTTAATTTTGAAAGAAGTAAATAGTATTTAATCTTTTAATATAATAAACTTTTTGTGAAGAACACGTCATCAAAAATTAGCAATGGAATGAATAAAAAATTAAATAAATCAAATGTATGATATTTTAGTTCTTTGGTTGATACTTTGCAATCATTCAAGCCCTATATCAACACACTTTATCTTTCTGGTATCTTATTGATAGTAAACCTATCTTTCAGGTCCTGGGTTGATAAAATTCCTAAAAAGGAAATACCATCACCCACAACATTATCACTATAGCACAACAAGACTCGATGCCCATTTGGATTCCATGTTGAGAAAGCCAAATGTGCTTTTAACTTTCAAAAGATCTTTGTTTTATATTTTGAGTTCATGAAATGCATTCCTGATGTAACCATAAGTAATTTTGGTAAATATGACTTTAGTTTGAGATTAAGTTTTCAAACGGGCTTCGAAGCAAGCTTTAAGTAATCCCTCTTTTACCCAAAGAACTTTCACTTTACTGAACTAACATTAATTCACTTTTAAGTTTTAACATATGACATTACATCAACTAACTTTATTAAAATGATCTTTCTGCAAATGAACTTTTAGCAAACTGATACCGAAGCATAGACTTAAAAGAGCAAGTGAGCTAAATAATGCAACGAGCTTTACTGTTTAGGATAACATCTTTTTATGTTTATCATCAGAGGCTCAACGAGCCCCCTCATCACATTTGAGCCAAATATTATTTGCGGAAAGTTCGTTTTAAACATCTTTAAATACATTGACAATGTGTATCCTGTTGGATTCAGCTATAAGAAGCCCCCTGCATAAGTTGTCTACTAGATAGTTCCAAATCAAATGTTGTGTTCTATTCCAAAAACCTTATGCTACTAAGTTTTTACATTTTTCTTCACCAAACACGAAACAATTGCTAGGTTACAATATTATATGTTCCTGAAAGTGGTTATACTCACTGATTCTTTCCGTGAATATACATTGGGAGTCACCCCGCCTTCTTCAGTGGCTGGTTTCTCTAGTTGGACTAACAGACAGATTGATGCTGATGGGGCATCTAAATGAAACACAGACCGTCGTTCACAAGATGTGCTTGCCTGGTAATGGCATCATAAGCATCATGACAATAGCAAGCTTGCACTGTAAGAACCAATAACAATATGAGTAAAATATTAACAAGCTTACATTCTGCATTTCTTCTGGTAGTATCTGGAAATTATAATCTTCTGAAAGTTTTTCTCTTCTCTCCCTGTTGTATAAGCAAATTGTCCCATGAAATGGCTCTGAAAGAAACACTCAGAATTTTGAGAAGTGCTGGTTGATTAGAGTCACAAAAGAAATGATGATATGTACATTATATAGAAGAAGGGATAAAGGAAGGTTTTGAATATAATTCTGCACACTGAATTTCATTACAAGAGTTGTAATTTATACAATGAATAAGTATGTCTATATGGTAAGAAATAATTCTCTCATAAATGAGAAAGATATGTAGCAGTTCTCACTATTAAATTACAATATTATGTATTAAGTATAATTTATTTATTTCCTTCAATACGTCCCCGCAAGTCGGGTATTCTGTCACTCCCAAGAATCCTGAGCTCGTCTCTAAGAAGAATAAAGCGTTGTTGGGGAAGTGGTTTGGTGAGAGCATCAGCTATTTGATCAGAAGATGGAATGTGACGAACTTGAAGAAGCCCATGTTAAACCCGCTGCCGAACAAAATGAAAGTCAATAGCCACATGTTTTATGCAAGAGTGGAAGACAGGATTTGTTGAAGACAGTGGCACCTATGTTGTCACAAAGGAGAAGTGGAGGAGGCAGGAGCAGATGTCGCAACTCACGCAAGAGAGATTTGATCCAAATAATTTAAGATGCAGCAGTGGAAAGAGCTCGGTATTCAACCTCCATAGAAGACTTAGCAATAGTGTGTTGCTTGACTGATTTCCAAGAGATAAGAGATTCCCCAAGAAAGATGGCGTAGGCCATACTTGTCACGGCGGTAAGGCGAGTCGCGGCGCCAGCCGACCGCCATATCGCCTAGGCGACAAGGCGCCCGCCTAGGCGACAATTAGGCGACTTGTCGCACAATATACATAATTATATTTTATACATAACAATACAACATTCTATTTAATTTGTAGTTTAATTACATATTATATATGATATATTAAGAATGCAATTGTATATTGCCTAATAATTTATTAATATATTAGTATACCTAATTGATTAATATGCAAATTATTAATTTCAATATTAATATACCCAATTTATTAATTTATTATATATCTAATTTATTAATATACAAGTTATATTCATTGCTAATATATATTGTAGTATGTATCTATGCATGTTGTATAGTGTGTACGAAATATACATATATTATATTCAAATTAAACTATGTATAACTGTAGTGGATATACTGCTGAGTGGGTACGAAGTATTAATATTAATGTTTAATATCAATATATAATAGAATAAGAAGTCTGATAAAGACTAACGTGATAAGATGAATGACCGATAAAAATAAAAGGCTGGGAAGAGCGCACGTCGTCTTCAACCTTGTGACGCAGGAACACATCAACTACAGATCGCCTACAGACGACCTTGCTACAGAGGCACAAATCATAAAAGTAACGACTAGCGATGCTCCACCTTTAGGAATCGTCGATTGAGCTTCGAGGTTGAGAGTCGACGATTGTTCTTTTAGGCTGGGCTTCAAAAAACGAATTTATTGAGATTTCAAATCTCCCCTGGCGTGACGCCAAGACTGCGCCTGGATGACATATTCACGCCTGGACGACGCCAGAGGCGACTAGCCTTCTTCCGGCGAGTCGATCTCCCCTGTCGACCCTTCTCCATCGCCAGGATGCCTAGTCGGCGACTAGGCGACGCCTAGGTGACGCCATGACAAGCATGGCGTAGGCACCGGTTGAGGAGCGGTCACCAGGATTCTCTCTGCCCAATCACCATCAACAAAGACTCTTAAAGAGGGAGAAATACTCCGGCGAAGAAAAAGTCCATGAGAAGTAGGGTTTTGTAGATAGCACAAAAGACGTTTGAGAAGCTGTCAGTGATTAACCGTAGGTTTATGCATAAATTGAGCCAGTTTGCTGATAGCAAAAGTAGCGTCATGGCGGGTAAGATTCAAATATTGAAGGGACCCAATGACTTGGCGATACAGAGTGACATCACATGAGCCAGAGCTGTCAAACGGAGTTAAGGATGCAGAAGATGCTAACGACGTAGCCACAGGATTAGCTTCATCCATTTTCAATATTTTTAATAAGTCCATGATGTAATTGTGTTGATCAAGGAAGAGTCCATCATGTGTAGGAGTTACCTGCATGCCCAAGAAAAAATGTAAGACTCCTAAATCCTTGATAGAGAACTGGTGGGCCAAGGAATCAATAGTTTGTCGTATCAATGTCGGTGTAGAGCCAGTAACAATAATGTCATCCACATAAACCAACACATAGATGTAGGAGTTATGGGAAGAAAATATGAATAGACTGGCATCAGCAGTAGACTGATAAAAACCGAGTGAGAGAAGAAATCCACTAAGAGACTAATACCACACCTGAGGTGCCTATTTAAGGCCACAGATGGATTTTCGTAGATGACAAACAAACCCAAAACCATCATTAAAGCCAGGGGGTTGCTTCATGTAAACCTCTTCCTGAAGAGTTCAATGTAGAAAAGCGTTGTTAACGTCCAGTTGATGAATTGGCCAGCCATGCGAAAGAGCAATAGTCAAGACAACACGAATAGTGACCGGGCTAAAAGTGTCAGAATAATCAATACGGGCAGCTGATGAAAACCTTTGGTCACTAATCGGGCCTTGTAGTGATCCAAGGAGTCATTCGGCTTATAATTCACTGTATATACCCATTTTCAACCCACAATATTTTGGCCTTGAGATGGAACAAGGTCCAAAGTTCCTTGTTTTACCAAGACATCAAATTCTACTGGCATTGTCGTCCGCCATTCTGGTACACAAGTGGGAATTATATGATTAGGTAAAGGTTTGTTGATGGCAATATGTGCATGTTTACGAGGTCGAAGGGTCATTGGGTGGGTACGTTTGGGCAGCGGGTTATCGAGGGGTGGGATATCAAGAGTGGTGGGTTGGTAAGGTGTGGGGACAGAAGGAATTGGTTTGGGACGACGTTGGTAAGTAATAACTTGTGGTTGTGTGGGTCTATGGGGGATGGGGTCACTTTGGTGGAAATAGTGGGTGACGTACCAGGAGACTGTTCGTGAGCCGAGGTATGAGTAGGAGGAGACACCCCCGTAAGCATAGTACCTGAAATGGGAAGAAAAGACAAAGATGGTTGAAGCCAGAGATCAACTTCAGCAGTGATCTTGGAGACCGGTGGCGTGGTCGTGGAAAAGGAGAAGACTGATTCATCAAACACTACATGACTGCTAACAAAAACACGATTCGTGGTAAGGTCAAGACAACAATAAGCACTTTGTTGGTCACAGTACCCAAGGAAAGCACACGGTTTAAAGCGTGGTTTTAACTTATGAGTGGTATAAGGACGTAACAATGAGAAACATTGGCACCCAAAAATAACAAGTTTAGTATTATGAGGAGGTTGTTGGAAAAGTTTTTCATATGGGGTGCAAAAATTAAGAGAAAGTGCAAGTTGTCTATTAATGAGATAAACTGACGTAAAGAAAGCATAGGGCCAATATTTAAGAGGCATGGGTGTGTGGTGAAGTAAGGTGATACCGGTTTCCACAATGTGACGATGTCGGCGTTCAGTAAAGCCATTGTGTTATGGAGTGTGGGGAAGAGTAAGTAAGTGAGAAACGCCACATGTGCGAAGGAATTTCCCTAAGGTGATGTATTCGTCTCCCCCATCAGAGTAAACTGTTTTAATTGTGTGTTGAAAAAAGTTTTCCACAATTTTGTTAAACTGTTAAAAAAATTGAAGGCACTTCAATCTTATGAGTCATAGTAAAAAGCCAAATATATTTGGTATAATGATCAACAAAAATAACATGGTAACGAAAGCCATCAATAGAGGTAACACGAGCGGGGCCCCAACATCCGTATAGATTAAATCTAGAGGTCCTGAACTCGTAAGAGATGATTGAGCAAACGATAATTTATGGCTTTCATTACTAGCACATGAGACACACAAAGAAAACTTCGTTGCAACATTGGGAAAAGAAATACCTAAGGAAGAGAGAATTTTTTTAGTGATAGGGAGGGCAGGATGGCCTAAAACAACAATGCCATTTATTAAGAGAATTGTTGTTTGTGATGTGAACTGTTTTAATTGTGCGTTGAAAAAAGTTTTCCACAATTTTTTTAAACTGTTAAAAAAATTGAAGGCACTTCAATCTTATGAGTCATAGTAAAAATCCAAATATATTTGGTATAATGATCAACAAAAATAACATGGTAACAAAAGCCATCAATAGAGGTAACACGAGCGGGGCCCCAACATCCGTATAGATTAAATCTAGAGGTCCTGAACTCGTAAGAGATGATTGAGCAAACGATAATTTATGGCTTTCATTACTAGCACATGAGACACACAAAGAAAACTTCGTTGCAACATTGGGAAAAGAAATACCTAAGGAAGAGAGAATTTTTTTAGTGATAGGGAGGGCAGGATGGCCTAAAACGACAATGCCATTTATTAAGAGAATTGTAGTTTGTGATGTGAACATAAGGAGAAGGTGTAGGGGGGCATCAGGAAAGCGGTAGACGTCTCCATTATTCATACCCCATAACAAAATTGCTTCCGTTCGTCGGTCCTTGATAAGACAAAAAGAGGAATGAAATTCAGATAGTACGGCATTATCACGACATAATTTGGAGACAGAAATTAAATTGGTATGAATAGGAGCAAAAAGAGTATTAGGTAAGGAGAGAGAGTGAAGAGTCATATGCCCAATTTGTGTTATCGCAAGACCTTTACTGTTACCGATAATGAGAGAGTCAGTGTCGGTATAATCGGATGTCAAGGTAAGATTGTTCAAGTTGTTGGTGACATGATTGATTGCTCCAGAATCAAGCCGCCAGCCATTGTGATTAGTGACAACTGTATTGACTTGAGGAGGATAAAGCCTATTGTTCAAACCGATGCCAACAATTAAGAGCAGAATGGTTCGCTTTGAAGCCTGTGAGCAGCTTGTAGATAGCACCGAAGTTGTTGTCTCCACAGGTTCGAATAGAGTTTGTAAATGATTCGAACTCAGGAAGAAGTCCTTAAAGGCTTGAATGACGTAATCCTCATCATCTACAGGGCAGGCGAGCAGGGCTAGTTCGACGGAGAGGGTCTTGAGGTGATGGAGATACTTGCCTACCGGCCTGGAGCCCTGTCGTGTGTGGCGAAAGATGTCCTTCATGTTGCGGATTTGAGATGATGTTCGGGTCCCGTAAAGTTGCTCAAGTGTCTTCCATACTGTCGTAGATGTACGGGCGGATCCAACCAAAGGTTTAAATGCTGAACTCGGGGAAGCAATAAGAGCGTGTCGGATGAGCCGATCTTGCCTAGTCCACCGTAGATGGCCATTGACATCACTCTGCGGCGGCGGGACACCATCATCAGCTACATATTGGTCAAGATGAGAGCCGAAGAGGAGGTCCAGAATCTGGTCACGCTAGACAAGGTAATTGGAGCCATCTAGCTTTTCTGGAAAATGACCGGGATTTAGTATCATTAATCCATATGGGGTGAGGGGTGTGGTAATACTGTAATAGGGGGAGAAGCAGTAATAGTATGACTCAGAGTAACGGTGTTGGGGTCTCCTTGCTGGAGGAGAACCTCCGGCTGACCGGAATTGTCGCCGATTGTCATAGGGAAGGAGGTGCAGGCTAGTTAGAGCTCAAGGGCTCTGAGAACATATAGAAGAAAGGATAAAGGAAGGTTTTGAATATAGTTATGCACACTGAATTTCATCACAAGAGCTGTAATTTATACAATGACTAAGTATGTCTATATGGTAAGAAATAATTCTCTCATAAATGAGAAAGATATGTAACGGTTCTCACTATTAAATTACAATATTATGTACTCCCTCCGTATTTTAAAGTTACTTACATTAGCTTTGGGCACACAATTTAACATGAAAAAGTAGGGGTAGAGTAAAGTGATAAAGTAGAAAAGAGAAGATGAATGATAAAGGAAAAAGTAGGTGAGAGAATGTAATTAAAAGAGTAATGAGGTAGAATATAATTGAATGAAGGTAAAAAGATAAGGGTAATACTGTATTTTCATAGATAAAACTTTCCTAAATGGGAAGGTGTAGGGAACTTTTAAATACAACCCAAAAAGGAAAGCGTAGGCAACTTTTAAATACGGAGGGAGTATTAAGTATAATTTATTTATTTCCTTCCATACAATACACATAGCAGTAATGGTATTTGGAATCAGAGTTATAGCCTTACCAGCTAATCCTGCTTGGAAAGCCAAGGATAGAACCCTAACGGCAATTTTTAGTCCACTGTAGCCACCGATATATATTCCAAATCAGAAACTCTGAAGCAATAGAAAGTGGAGGCAAGGAAAAATTGAAGTATTATAGTGATACCTAGTATATTGGGACATGTGAGCTTCAGGAGTCCTCTGCCCAAATATCATTGATCTTTCATTTTCCCAGTCATAAACTGGTTCATAAGCAGGTAAAGGAGATTCACCAAAATGCTGCAAAAAAATATTTAGTCTGTTAAAAAGACATAGAAGTATAGAGTTTATTATGTGTGAGTGAGGGGGTATTTGTGATCAAACTGTTTGAACATTCATACAGAACAACCTTAGAGACTTTTAAATTTGACAAGTCGTACAAGCTAGCATCAGTCATTTGTACTGCGGATGTACTTGGATTTTCTCCCACAAATGAATCATCAATCTTAACTTGCCTCACATTGCTAAGATGCATCTCTGCAAATGCTCACAAAGCTTAAAAACTAATGCAAAAGGCCCCATTTGCAGTGACAAAAAAAGTCACTAAACAAAGCCCAATGAAACAAAAACAGCATTGCACAAAAAAGTGAAAAAATAATACTATGGACAAAACTAATGTTAAAGGAATCCTTCATGTATGCTGTATTCAGCTAAATGTCTACTTCACTTGATTAAAGATTTAAGCTAGACTCAAACAGCACATAAAAGTAACTTTTGAAAGCATGAGGTATCTGTCAAGAGGCTAGCAAGACACAGGCAAGGTCAAAGAACACAGATTCCATGAAAAATCCACAGTCCAATCTCCAGCAGAGAGTCTACTTATTTAGCTTTCAGCTTGGCCTACACAATTTCTCATAGACACCATGACTATGGAAGAGTTTGTCTGTGTATGTATGTATGTGTGTATATATATATGTATATATATATACAGAATTAGGTTCAAATGAGAAAATGATCTTAGAAGAGAAATGAGAACGAATCTGAACTGTTTGATTGTATTATGTGAAATTTAATGTGCATTAGGTAAAACTGAAATGTGCAGTAAGTGAAATTGAACTCTGCAGCACAAAGATTATGATACAGTGGCATTATGTGAAGTTGAATTGTGCATTGGGTGAGATTGAAATGTGGAAAATAAAAGGTACGATGCGATGTCATTTTTGTACCTTTTATTCTGCACATTTCAGTTTCACCTAATGCACATTTGAGTTTTACCTTGTATTCTGCACATTTCAACTTCATCTAATGCACATTTCAGTGTAACCTAATGCACAATCCAATTTCACATAATAAAATCCAACGGTTCAGATTTGTTGAGTTTAAGTCCAACATAAACTAATAGATATAGATATAATTTGGTATAACACTCAATTTTTAGGTGGAAACCCGAAAGGGAGAAAACCACGGGACTTTTTAGGCTAACGTCCAAGCCCGCTCTTTCTCATTAACGCTCTCCTCACCATTTACATAGTACAAGTTTTGGGACTCCATTAATGGAGGTTGATCCTATCTCTAAAGAAAAGAAGAAGCAGGGAGGAAGAAACCCCCTAGGGGGAGAAGAGCCAAAGATCAGATCCTTTAAATGGAAGCCTAGCTTCCTATTTATAGAAGGTGGTGGGGGCTTGCTAGCATAATGGACCGGACAGGCCTTAACGGGCCGAAATGGGCCGGGCAGGCCGAGTGGGCCTAAATGGCTCTCAATGGGCCCGAGGGGCCTACATGGGCCTCGCTAACTGAGCTCCATACCGGGGTGAAACCTTGGGCCCCTGAATAGTAATAGGCCGGGATAGTATTCCTCAACAAGTCCCCCAGTTTCTTGAGTAGTGAGCCTGTGAATCTACTCGAGAAAATATACTCTTGCTCACGTCCCTCCTTGCCTTCCCCGAATCGGTGTCTTCGAATAGTCTTGGACGCAAAGCATGCATAAGTGATAGGTGAGGTGAAGTCCCCTCACTAGGCACAACGGCGCTAAATAGCCTGTCGTTCGTGCTGCATAAGGCGGTGGTCCCGACCCTGAATGGCAAGGGCAGACCGGGCCAAAAAGAAGACACGACGACGCTGAAGAGCCAGCCGTTCGTGCTGCATAAAGCAGCCGTCCCGACCCTGAATGGCATGGGTGGACCTGACCGACAAGAAGAAGACAAGACGGTGTTGAAGAGCCAGCCGCTCAAGCTGCATTATAAAGCGGCAGTCCCAACCCCGAATGGCATGGGTGGACCCGACCGACAAGAAGAAGACACGACGGCGCTGAAGAGCTAGCCGCCCGTGCTGCATATATAAAGCGGTGGTCCCGACCCTGAATGGCATGGGCGGACCCGACCGACAAGAAGACACGACGGCGCTGAAGAGCCAGCCGTTCATGCTGCATAAAATGGCGGTCGTCATACCAGATTAGGAATGGATGAGCCCGACCGATAAGTAGGCACGACGGCGCTGAAGAGCCAGCCGTTCGTGCTGCATATATAAAGCGGCAGTCCCGACCCTGAATGGCATGGGCCGACCCGACCGACAAGAAGACACGACGTCACTAAAGAGCCAACCGTTCGTGCTGCATAAAGTGGCGGTCGCCATCCCAGATTAGGAATGGACGAGCCCGACCGATAAGTAGGCACGACAGCGCTGAAGAGTCAGCCGTTCGTGATGCTGCATAAAGTGGCGGTCGCCATCCCAGATTAGGAATGGACGAGCCTGGCCGATAAGTAAGCATGACGACACTGTGGAGCCGTTCATGCTGCATAATACGATGGTCGCCATCCCAGATTAAGAATAGACGAGCCCGGTCGTGAGTAGGCGCGATGACACTGAGGAGTCGTTCGTGCGGCATAAGATCTTCAAGAGAAGAAAGGAACTCTTATTCCCCAGCCCCCAGGTCAAACAGAATCAGTCGAGATTACCTGTCCGGTCAGATTTGGACGGATCACTCCCACTAATAGGTCGGGGACGACTACCACACTCCATTAGCCGTCGCAACAATTGGGTAGCCCAAACGTGTATGCCACGCACTCGTGAACGTGGTTGTAGAACCCCTATCTTTTGGACGGGGTATTCCACGGACTTGACTCTAAAAGACTCGGACCCATCGACCCAGGACTCTTTGGTCCACCATTTGTTTTACATCATCTCCAAAACCAGTTCGATCCACCATTCGATCGTTTTGACGAACGGATCGACAAACTTAGTTGAAATGATGACTCACACCCAATTCATAGTTCGATTCCCCCGTTCGTCCCATTTGAACGGCTCAACGTACTATGCCTCGTTGAGAATTTGAACCACAGTTTCGATTCCCCTGTTCGATCCATCTGGTTTTGACCAGTCTGTTCGACGGTTCGTCCATACTTCTGGTCCCTCAATCCTTATTTCCAAGCTAACACGTAAGCTTCCCCGTTAATCCCATTTCAAAGCTGGGATTCCACCCTTCGATCTAGTCATCGTGGCTCGTTAGCCCTCCGAACTAGTCGTCGTGGTTCGTCGAAGCTAATAATTGAGACAAGATCTTACACCATAGAATATAGTCATTCTGAATAGCTGCTGTTATTGATGTCAGGATGTCAGCACTGAGGGGCCGATCGTACTGCATAAGACGGTGATCCTCCCCTGTAAAGGTGTGGGCGGGCCTGACCGTGAACTGGATATGATGGCATCGTACTGCATAAAACGGTGATCCTCCCCTGTAAAGGTGTGGGCGGACCTGACCGTGAACCGGATACGGTGGCGCTGAGGGGCCGATCATACTGCATAAAACGGTGATCCTCCCCCTGTAAAGGTGTGGGCGGACCTGACCGTGAACTGGATACAATGGCGCTGAGGGGTCGATCGTACTGCATAAAACATTGATCTTCCCCTGAAAGGTGTGGGCGGACCTGACCATGAACGGGATACTATGGCGCTGAGGGGCCGATCGTACTGCATATAATGGTGATCCTCCCCTGTAAAGGTGTGGGTGGACCTGACCGTGATCAAGAATGTGTAAGGGTCTTGCAGGCGCCCTCTGCCCGTGGTGCTTGCTCTAGGTGCCGAACGGCGGGGGGCGGATTGCTAGTCATGGAGTGTGACCTGAAAGCTTGTGCGTCATCCGACCTGTAGGACTTCTCTCTTGGTCGGCCATGAACGTCTTGTGCATCATGCCGAATATTATCGATCTCCCTGCTCAAGTATATCGAATGACCTTGCATTTTTTGCCAGTCATGAACATCTCTGTGCTTCATGCCGAACGTCACTGATCTCCCCGATCGGGCATATCGAACAGCTTTGCCTGATTGTGAATTATTTTCTTTGCCGGTCATGAACGTCTTTGCGCTTCATGCCGAACGTCATGGATCTCTCAGCTCGACCATATCGAACGGATTCCACTGCACACACAATAAGCATGGTAACAAGGTCGTACGGCCCGACAGTATATATACATTATACACATATAAAGCATAGTCATTTTTATGTTCATTAACATCAGCCTGAACGATCTCAATAATCTCTGGCCCTACCAGGCGTGTTGGCCTGGATTTATTTTTCGGCCTGTAGGAACCCATGGCTGGAACCACCTAGTGGTTTGTCGGGCGTTTCCAAAAAATAACAACTTTAGTTAATCAAACTAAGTATTTCGCCCTGTATTAGGCATGGTTGCCGTTAATCAAACCAAAGTTAATCAAACTTTGGTGCCATGCGGGACCATGAATGGTCTTTAAATTAAAATGCATCATCGGATAACGCCTTCGCGAGACGCTTTCAGCCAGCTAATTTGAGCCGATCGGGGGCGGATCCATGCGCCCTCTCGAACCAAGCACTTAATTAAAATTGTTGGTGAGCTTAGAAGCAAAGTTTCGCTCGACATTATTTATCTTGGGAAATTTAAACCCTTAGTAAATAATGGTTATTCAACAACTAATATCAATGATTTTATCTAGCAATTATTGATATTTAAAAGCATGAGTGTAGAGGGCCGTAGTACTTAGCTGAATAGGACGAATTTCAGCTGACAAGCCAAGGTATTCACCGGTTGAGGTTTTGGCCCAGTCTGATGATAAATAACGTAGCCTCCATCACAAGAATAGGCTTTAGTTTTGACCATCAAGTAATCTCCTTGGAGAGAATATGGCCCAACCCATCAATTGAAAGTATGTCCCCTGACCGGTGGTATACTGGTGCGAACTTAGCCAGAGACCATGCCCAAATTCAGCGCTGGAACCTGGAGGTGCCGGTCGGTGACTGCCAGTTGGGGGGTTGGACAGCAAGATCGATCATCACATTTGACAGGGCATGAGCGGTGCGAAGCTCTGGGGGACATTGTCGCTGGCTCGCGAACTGGGAGTTTTAGTGGGGGAGGTCGTGCGGCTAAGACCGGGTGGCCCCACGCTCTAGATTGCTGGGGGTGATGTTTAAGGGAGGATCTGCCGGACGGCAATGACCGAGCAGCACGAAGCCTTCGGGTCTATGAAGGATCTGCCGAACGGTGAGTAAGGTTGGGCCGGACGGCAATGACCGAGCGGCAAGAAGCCATCGGGCCTATAAAGGATCTGCTGAACGGTGAGTAAGGTTGGGCCGGACGGCAATGACTGAGCGGCAAGAAGCCGTCGGGCCTATGAAGGATCTGCCGAACGGTGAGGTCCAGTGACGATCGGTCGTTCCAGATGAAGTTGGGTGGCTCAATGCGAATGTGGCCGGGAGACATGTGGTGGAGGTTCTGTTCAAGCGGATTATCACTGACCTCATGTTTGTCTTGGTGAGCTCAAGCTGATGACCAGAAGATACCGTTCGGCTCGTGATTAATCGTTTGTCATTCAAGGGTTTTAATGACTAACGTTTCAGGAGTCTGAGTTGCTAATCTGCTGTCTTCCCCTCATCCGCGGCCACTGATCGGTTAGTCTCCTTCCTGGCGCATGTTTGGTTAAGCTCCCGCCCAGGGCTTCTGATGCTTCCTTCTGGTCATGATCTATCCTGCCGATGTTGGTTTTACCGAGCGGCAATGCCGGCTCCTGAGGGGTGATTGCTGTTTTTCCACATCCCGTTCGGCAGAGAGTGTTGCTGTCTTGACCTCCAACCAAGGGGTCAGCGGTTGGTCGGCAGGTTTTTGGAGTCGGAAAATTCTTGTCCGGGTTTTGCTATGTTGGGATTGCTGCTTCCTGTTGTGCTTGGCCTCTCCTGCAGATTCCACAGATTGGTCGGGCGCTCTATATATTCCTACTCCAGCCGGAAGAAGACTCCCGTTCGGGAGGGAGGCACGTTTTTTGGATTACCACAAATCTGTCAAATCACCCACTTGTTGTCAGGCCCCCACGTGAGAGTAGGACTCTGTTTCTATGTGTCATCGAGTTAGTGGGCTGGCGGGTCCCACTCATCCTCTTCCAGCGGCGGTAGTGTCGTGTCTGGGAGATCCCATGTTGGGCTGGCGGGTCCCACTAATCTTCTCCAATTTTCCCAATTTCAGTAGAGTAGCTTGCAACCTCCGTTGATCTTATGCTGTCATCTAGCGTTTGTCTCAGGACAAGGAAGGGGTTTTCTGCATTTGGCAGGTCTCTTGATTAGCCAGGGTCTGATTTCTTCTTTTCGTTCTTAATGTCTTCTTTCCCCCGGAACATTTTTTCTTTCTTTCTTGCTGTAATCAGTAGCTCTTGGTATCACAATATTTGAAGAATGAATCTACAACATAAACTAATAGATATAGATATAATTTGGTATAACACTCGATTTTTACGTGTAAACCCGAAAGGGAGAAAACCACGGGACTTTTCAGGCTAACGTCCAAGCCCGCTCTTTCTCATTAACGCTCTCCTCACCATTTACATAGTACAAGTTTTGGGACTCCATTAATGGAGGTTGATCCTATCTCTAAAGAAAAGAAGAAGCAGGGAGGAAGAAACCCCCCAGGGGGAGAAGAGCCAAAGATCAGATCCTTTAAATGGAAGCCTAGCTTCCTATTTATAGAAGGGGGGTGGGGGCTTTCAAGCCTAATGGACCGGACAGGCCTTAACGGGCCGAAATGGGCCAAGCAAGCTGAGTGGGCCTAAATGGCTCTCAATGGGCCTGAGGGGCCTACATGGCTGCATGGGCCTCGCCAACTAGGCTCCATATCGGGGTGAAACCTTGGTCCCCTGAATAGTAGTAGGCCGGGATAATGCTCCCCAACAAGATTCATTCTCATTTCTCTCCTAGGAGTCCTTTCTCACCGGAACCGCTTCCTATATATATATATATATAAGGGAGGGTTCTTATGAGAACACCTCTTAAAATAAGAACCCATTTTAAAATAGATACATCTAATCTCCATCATTCATTTTTATAATCAATGGCTAATAAAAAATTAATAATAATAAGGTCGCATTTTTGTAAATATTTAGGATTAATTGCAAAAGGCCCCAATTGAATTGAGAGTAATTATGAATATGACCCCATGTGAATGAGTAAATCCTAATCAATGATTGTAATAAATGAAAGGTTGATATTAAAAGTTCTCAATTCTCATTATAAGGAGTTCCCATTTTAGGAGGGGTTCTCACTAACACTCTCCCCTATATATATATAACTCTCCCCTATATATATATATATATATATATATATATATATATATATATATATATATATATATATATATGGAAGAGTTCAAATGAAAAGTGGTCTTCCCGTGCAAAGTGCAAAGTTTTCACTTTTTCATGTTTCGCATCCACTTTTTCTTGTTTGTGTTGCACTTTTTGGCCATTTCGATTTTGGCCAAATTCAGCCAAAAAGACGGTGTCAGTTTTATAAATAAACCAATTTTTTTGAGCAACCGCGAAAAAGTGCAATGAGAGCAAGAAAAAGTGCAAGTGAAACATGAAAAAGTGCAAAACTTTGCACTTTGCACGTTAAGACCACTTTTTATTTGAATTATCCCCCATATAAAAAGATGTCTTTTTATTTGAACTCTTCCATGAAAAAGTGCAGAGCTTTCACTTTTTTGTGTTTCCGTTGCACTTTTTCAGCATTGAGATTTTGGCCAAATTCGGCCAAAACCACAGTGGCAGTTTTGTAAATAAACCAATTTTTTTCGCTGACGCGAAAAAGTGCAACGAAAACAAGCAAAAGTGCAAGCGAAACATGAAAAAGTGCAAATTTCGCACTTTGCACGGGAAGGTGTCTTTTTATTTGAACTCTCTCCTATATATATATAGGAAAATTCTCAGGTCCAGCACCTCCCGGTCCGAACGCCGTCCGAACACCGCCGTTTAGGGTGGTTCCCGGTGAAATTTTTTGATGAAATTTTTTGAGCATGTTCTTCATCAAGTCTAGTTTATCCATACCAAATTTCAGCTCAAAATTCGATCGGGAAGGCAGTCAAATAATTCGTTGAAGTTAACTGCGTTTTCCTATGTATAATTTGGCGCAGTTAACTTCAACGAATTATTTGACTCCCTTCCTGATCGAATTTTGAGCTGAAATTTGGTATGGATAAACTAGACTTGATGAGGAACATGCTCAAAAAAATTCATCAAAAAAATCCACCGGGAAACGCCCCAAATGGCGGTGTTCGGACGGTGTTCGGGCAGAAAAGTGCTGGACAGGAGAATGACTCTCTCTCTCTCTCTCTCTCTATATATATATATATATATATATATTCTCCCCTAGATATATACACACACGCGCGCGCACACACACACACACACATATATATATCTTGACTTACTCTCCTTGGCAAGTAACATTCTTGATTTCCATGAAATTCATGTCGAAATTTTAGTAAAATTAACATATAAGAACTTAAAACACAATTTAGATAGAGGCAACCTAGCCACTAACAGTTTTTTCCATTTTACCTGTTTCAATATCTGTATCAGGACCTTCAAATACCTGACTCTTAAATGAAGCTGGGCCAATGCTCTCATAATGACCATACTTGCTGTCATCTTTAATCCAATCAGTTGTATAGCATTGAACAAGTTCATTTAAATGGGGCCATTGCTCCATGTTTTCATCAAGCTGCATTGATGGTGGGAAAAAACTAAGAGAAAGTTTATGCATCTAATAAAAAATCAATTGAAGTTTATTACATGTAAGCATAAGAATAGAAAATGCATAAATTTTGGAAGTGCAGAGATTTTAAGAAATAACACAAAGGGGTACTCAGACTACCACCAAAATGAAAAACATTGTACATTGAAAGAAAACAGCAGTAGGGAGTAGGGCCAATGGTACATGTTTGAATATATCCAACAAAACATAGAACAAGAGAGTTTTTCTGCGAGCCTTTCATTGAGTTCAAAGGTAAAATAGAGTGAAAGAAAGTTCCTAAGATTTTGTAGAATGAATTGACAGAATTGTAGGCAATCAAAACAGCAATTACTTCCTTCATTCCAAATGAGCCAAATTTGACGAATTTAAAAAAGTATCCTACATATATCCTACTAGTCTTTAACTCTTTACGCACAAGTACAGAACCAACTCTTCACTCATAGACTGCAGGATGGCAATACATAATGCACCTATCCTTAGCAGCTCTACAAGAAAAGTGTCTCTAAAGTCTATATCTCTCATGTTGCTCATAGACCACTGCTGAAAGTTTCTGAAAACAAAAGCATCTAACAGATCAAGACCATGCTTAACTTTTATAAGCATGCTATCATAGGCGTGGCCTTAGTTTAAAAAAAATGCATTAGGCATGCCTAGGCACAAGGCACATAGAAGCGATAAAAAAATTGCATCATGAAAACCGGGCACAGCAGGTTCAAGAGAGTGAACGCCTTCCGCACTTTTTGCTGCCTTTTGAGTTTTGAGGCATCAGTGACTCTGGTTTGGCAATTTAGTATGCTGCAGCCGTTTATTTATTAATTCTCCCAAATTTTTTGTGTATAGTAATCTCTGATCATGCAGTCATGTCTCATGCTCTCCTCTCTTTTTTGCAAGTTAATTAGTAATTACTACCTCCGTCCCGGAATTATCTCCTTATTTGAGTGGACACGGGTTTTACGATAGTGGGAAATGTGTGGTGGAGAGTTGTACAGAGGAAAGAGAAATGTGTAAGAATGGTTGTGAACCACAAATTCTTTGCCAAAAAAGGAAAGAGGAGATAAATTTGGGCCGGACCGAAAAGGAAAGAATGAAGATAATTCCGGGACGGAGGGAGTACATACTATGACAGTATGACTATATGTGTTAGAGCAGTCTGTGTTTATGGCTATATATGTCAGAGCAATCTCTCTAAATGCATTATAGCATATATAGCAATATGCCTAGTTCTGTATTCCCAGATAATTAAAATTAACATTATAATTCCAAGGGAAGGGGGTCGAATAGATCCTTCTACTATATCTAATACATCAATTAAGCCCCTATACTAAAAAGGGTATCATATAAGTACACACACTTTAGAATATCAATCAACTTGACCTTTTAACCGGTTCTTGATCCATAATAGCAGCTTTTGTATATTAAAAACTTCAAAAATAATGTTAAAATTCGAAGAAATAAATATAAAAGTGTGGACAATTTAAGAATGTCAAAGTCTATATTTTTTCATTTTTGGAATTATTTTTATATTCTACATCTTTTAAAAAGTTATTACATTTTAATTGTATACTACGTATTTTTTACACTTTCACTTTATTTTTTTATTTTTACCTGTTAAATTATTTATCTATTTTTGAACTTATACTATTTATTATAAAAATTATAACATTATTTTTCAAGTTTACATGAATTTTTATAGATAAATAAATTGCTTTAATTTTTTAAAAATAACCTACTATAGAAGGTCAGAATGTCTCGATTGATTGTTTTTAAAGTACACACTTATATGATGAATTTTTTAGGTACAAGGCCTTAAGTGATGGGTTTGAATAGTAGAAGTGTCTATTTGACCTAGGCATGGCAATGGGTCGGGGCGGGTACTGCAAGACCCGGACCCGCCCCGTGACTTGGCGGGGCGGGTCACTCGGACGGGTCCGCCCCGCCCCGTCGTAACCTAATTAGCTAGTATGTATTTTTATTTGCGGAAAGTTGTTACCAATTGAATCTACATAAACTTTATCTCTAAATAATTATTAAAAATTAATATATTAAATCAAATTCACGATACGCTAAAAATTTCAAAAAATTAAGGAAAAATTACTTAGACTTGAATAGTTAATCTATTTAATTATATTAATAATTGAATATATGTACTAAAATGCTATATATAAAGCAGACATTGATAATTTGTCGTTCATCTTATTCTGATATATACGAAGTATATATGAATATATTATAAGATCAAAGAATTTATGATTTATTGTACATACACATATGTATGTTGAAGTATATTTGTAGTACTCCCTCCATCCCGAAAAGGTTGGCCAAAGTTGACTTCCACGTGGATTAATAAAGTAAAAACTGTGTGGTTGAAATTTTTGTGCAGAGGAGAGAGAACTAATTTTAGCGACATATTCCTTACTTTAAATGGAAATTACAAATCTTTTTGGGACATCCAAAAAAGAAAATTTGATAATCCTTTTTGGGACGGAGAGAGTATAATTTAAGAAAAAGTATGTATACTTGTATATTGAGCGGGTCGGATCGGGGCGGGGCGGGGCGGCACGGGTCAACAATAATAACCGGACCCGCCCCATTATGTAGGTGGGGCATGGAGGACCCGCCCCATTTGCAAGATGGGGCGGGCCAGACCCGCCCCAAATGTCTCGGGCCAGGGCGGGTCATTGTGGGCCGGGTTTTTTTGACATCCCGAATTTGACCCTTTTCTCTAATTCCAATTTGCAAGTAGAAGCCTTTATATTCTAACTAGAAGTGTTAAAACTACTTTTTTAATCTTTTTTATAGTCTTAAAACCAGAAGCCTTAATATAACCTTTCAGATTGTAACTAGCAAGCTGCAAGCCTTAATTCGTAATCATTGTGATGGTCTTAAAATGTCTATTTGGTGTTTAATGACTTTATGGTACTTTTGAGATTTTATAATTATTTTGGGTAGAGTGTAAAAGTGTTACATATATAGTTTAGCAATGTTGCATGCCTAAGTTCCGTGACGCACGCGCCTCTGCCTCACACCTCGTTCCTTGACTAAATTTCATAAAAACGGCTCATGCCGCCTCGTACCTTTTAAAACTAAGCTTAGAGCCTTTATGGATATAATGCCATATAAAATCTATCACTGGCTGCCCTCTGCTATTGAGCCAAAGACAAATTACGCTCCTTTCACTGTATCATTTCACAACTCTGAGGTACCAACGAAGTATTCGTTTGATCCCCCGATGCTTTTGCCTAGTACTCCCTCCGTCCCTAAATGTTTGTCACACTTTCCCGAAACGGATGTCCCAAAATGTTTGTCATACTTTTTAAACTTTCTTATTTGGTAAACAAATATATACCAAACAGTGTCAAACAGTGCCAAACAGTGCCGCTACAGTGTGAAACAGCGTCGCTACAGTGTAAAGTCAAATTCATTTCCTTAAAACTTGTGAAGTCAAAGTGTGACAAACATTTAGGGACGGAGGGGTATATAGGATGACAGTGTTCAGTAATGCGACATGCATACTATATTATTCATCTAATTATCCTTTAAAAAAATATTCCGAACAGAGGAGACTCAGATATTACAATACATATATAGGTTTACGCTCTCTCTTGGTTCTTAGTGGAAAGTTTTAGAATGTGTGACTTCAAATCCTTCTCCAAGTCCGCATCAGAAAGATTACTAAGTTCTAACATTGCATTCCAACTAAAACTTGTGAATTCCACCCATGAGATAGTCCAATATGTTTACACAAGGGATTAACTTATAAACAGAAAGTCGATGGAGAAGGAAATAAATATAGAGAGATAACAAAGCAAATGCGACTAACCAGTGGGTCCAAGTTCAGATCAGCTGAGTAAGAACGGCGTGGAATTCTCCTAAACCGATAACCATTTGGGGAAGAACTCTCCATGGCCTGGAAATGGAGCTAGACGCTATATATATAAGCAGCTCCGGGGTGCAATAAACAGCTCGTGAGTTAGTACTACGCTAAAAATTGGAAATGGAAATCATTTCTGCAGGGGAGCATACATTACGCGGTAATGCACATCAGCTCCCAATGCTAATAAGAATCATTATCAGTATGCCATAAGCCCGCCCATATCTGGTAAGCTGGTCAAGATTGTGTTCTGGTGGCGCTCTTCCCAAAGCCTTAGAAAATGCTGCAAATGCCTGTGATCTGCACCGCGATGAATAATACGGAGTATTAAGGAACGGCTGGAGATCGTGAACTGTACCTGGTCCAGCACTACTCCAGCAGATGACGTCTAGGGTAATTCCTCGGTGACACAGAAAGTAGCTGAAATTTGCTCACACTTGCTACCTAAAACACCTAATCCGGATGAGTTCGGTTTTGGCACCGTAAAAAAGCATTGATTTTGAAAGGCAAAGGTAGTTAGCTTCACTTTTAAGAGGCCATTTTGTCAACCCTCATTTTTCCCTCATCCGGCTTATAAGCCAATTTTTTTTACCAAACACTTAAATTTTGCTTTCGCGCGCTGAATTGTGTAATAAGCCGAAAAAGTAAAGTTGGAGTTACTTTTCTGTCTGTGTTGGCTGAAGTTACTGTAGATGATCATTTTAGCTATTTTTACATATAATTTTTTCTTTATTTTATTAATAAAATATATTTTAAAAATATTTTTTTCTTGTATCAGCAGAATCAGGCAATGCAGCCACTTCAGCCAGAACTTCATAAATTTCAACAGAATCAGCCAAAACAGCCGATTTTCGTGCTACCAAACGGGCTCTAAGTGTTTTTATATAATGGAAAAAGTAAAAAAAAAAATAGATTCTAGCTTTTAGGTTATAAATAAATGTTTAATTAAAACACAAGTTATCACTTGAAAATATCCATTTCAGCTTTTAAATCCAAAAGCTAAAAAACACTTTTAAAAAAAATGCACACATACCTTCGATCGATTCGGTTTTGACCAAAAAACAAATACGCAACTGATGGAGTATATGGGTCTGAGCCCCCGGACCCACATACTCGGAAGAACAGAAAGCACAAGACACAGAGTGGCGCCCTCGTCGGCCAAGGGACCCCCGTCGGCCGAAAAGGTGCCAACTCAGATTATGGTCCTGAAGCCAAGGAACCCGGGTGCCCTCGTCGGCCGCGCCCTCGTCGGCCGTGCCCTCGTCGGCCACGCCCTCGTCGGCCACGAAGACTCCACAGAACCGGATTCTACACTTACTCATTTGTACAGCCCATTAGTGGCTTTGTATTCGGCCCAGTAGCGGTCCAGTTGTAAATGGGCCTCCCAAGCCCAAGGCTTGGGAGCCCAGCCCGTATTTTCTCTATAAATACTCCCCTTGGGAGTAGTTATGGGGGTGGCAAATTCATTCTATTGAAACATATTATTGCACTTCTCTCTCTAGCTCTCACTTCTCTCTAGATATACTCTATCAGCAACCATAGCAGAAAGTTCGGTTCGATTTTGGTTCGGTTTTACATTTCAAAACTTGAAACCACGGTTTGATTGGTTCGGTTTGTTTCGATTTGGTTTCAATTTTTCGGGATTTTTACTAAAAATTGTCGTTTAAAACGATACGATAGTTGGAGGGATCAAATATATTACATAAAAAGAAGGCATACAAAAACAAATACTCCCTCCGTATTTTAAAGTTCCTTACATTAGCTTTGGGCACACAATTTAAATGAAATAGTAGGGGTGGAGTCAAGTGATAAAGTAGGAAAGAGGAGATAAATGACAAAGTATAATATAAATGATAGAGTAGGTGAGAGAATGTAATTAAAAGAGTAGTGTGGTAGAATATAATTGGATGAGGGTAAAAAGATAAGGGTAATTGTTGAGTTAATAGGCTGGATAGCAGGTCGGCCCATTACCCACTAAACATGGGGACCATCAGGGCCCATATAGAGTATGGTCCAGCAGAAGGACTTGGCATATGCTCGTCAGATGGACCATGGGAAAGATGACGCTCGTCCGATGAGTCCAGGGCCCAACAAGGGTCAGATGATATTCAGGGATCCTCGACTGTAGTACACATCAGTCGTACAGATCCTCTTCCTTGCAGGATTCTAGGCCCAATCTGGCCATGAACCACTAGGATGTTGTCAAAACGCTCGGCCTCAACGGCCTTTGCCCAACGAGTGCGAGATAACATTCTAGGGGCCTTGGCCAGAGAGCTGACATGAGTCGCATGGAGCCCAACCCTTATACCTCCAGATCCAGGAGCTCAGATCAAGGGACGTTCGTCCGAGCCCATGACGGGAAACCAAGATATTGGTGGGATGCGCATTTAATGCAGTGGATTTGGTGGTTGGGAAGTTGGCCATCCACAATCCTCCACATCAGGAACATTACCTACCCCCGGGGTAATATAAATTGTACTCCCTCCGTCCCAAAATGCTGGTCCTGTATTTCCTTTTTGGGATGTCCCAAAATGATGGTCTTGTTTCCCTTTTTGGTAAAGAACTAAAAGTGGATTACCATTTATACCCCTCCTTTTTAATGAACAGTAAAAGTAAAAGGATGAACTGTACAATAAAGTAAGGTTCTTTAGTCTTTCTACCACACTTTCTTAATCTTTGTGCCCAAAAAGTATAGGACCATCAATTTGGGACGGAGGGAGTAGCATTTATTTCATTGTAAAGGGTTGGCAACTGATTCTCCTTAGCAATAGCAATTATCTCAGCTCTTAATATCGAGATAGACGAACGGCCTCAGGGCTAGTAGTTGAAGTGTGTTGTATATGGACCCTTATTATCATTTAATAAGATACGGTCCACTTACTACTTTCCGTTTGACCCATCTTTACTTGTTTGCAAATTAATCCACAAAACTCACCACTCGAACCCAAGGAAAACGTGTTGGGCCTTTGGGTTGAAGGAATAAACTTCAACACTGGCGCCGTTTGCGGGAAACTAATCAAAAAGTCTTTCCAAAAACAAGCTCTCACCAAAAAGTAGCTCGTTACGAACCCTACAAGCAAGCGAGATGGCAAGGAACAATGATGGACCATTCACGACCTCTCCGAGCGGCTCGAAAACAGTAGGAGGACTCGCACCCAAGCATCGGGTGACCAGTCCAGTAGCTTGTGGAGCCACGGAGATTTTGGGGAGCTCACCAACATGATTCTCTTGGACGTCTGAAGGGGCCCTCGCACCATGAGGGAACTGACGGATACCATGTGAAGCATGGCGGACAAACAGGATGCGGAAATGATCGTATACTCGGCCGAAATCGAGCGTACACCATTTTCCCCCATTCGTTCCATGCAGCCGCTCGATGAACGAACGGGCGAGACTGTGAAATCTCGCACATCGGTCCACACAGGGATCAGAGGAACCTCTCACTCCTCAGATATGGGAGGACATGGGGGAACCAGGCCCCTCAGAGGAGGACAATGACATGCGGCCCGAAACCGCACCCCGCAAATGCCACACCACGATCACCGGGTCAGGGAGCCAACTCCTGTGGTAAGCAATGTGGGATAACGGTTCTAGTATGTGGAGGGGTAAGGTGCTCGTTTCATTCAAAGGCAGCACAACACAGCTGTTGTACGCACGAAGGATGCTCGGGCGGTGGTGAACCTCGTGGCCCCAACCACTAACGTGCGGGACGAAATGTTCGCTGACCTTCGGAGACAGATCGACGAGTTAAACCGTCGGACGGATAATAATTCAGCGCAACCTAAAACAGCGTGCACCTCCCCATTTTCTGTAAGAATCATGGCTGCAAAGATCCCTTAGGACTGCAGGCCACCAGACGTTCTGCTCTACAATGGGGCCAAAGATCTGAAGGCCCACCTGTTCTCCTTCCAGGACGGGCTCTCCATGTTGGGAGCATCCAATGAGGCCATCTGCAAAAGCAAACAAGTGTATCGCAGGTTCCTTGGGCCCGGACGGCACCAAGAAGAAGTTGGAGTTCAAGGTGATGTTCGGAGGTGCGAAAACAGAGGACACACCGGCAGAGCGGAAGAAGTTCGAAAGGGCCCTTTATGTGGGTGCCATATCCGCACCACCGACTAAGAAGCATAATGGCGAGCCTATCACCTTTGGGCCAGCAGACCTACCCAGCTCCCTAGGGCCACATATGGATGAGTTGGTTATCAGCATGGACATCAACGACGCCATTGTTAGGCAGGTCCTGGTGGATACTGGCAACAGCGTGAACGTCCTATACTGGGATGTTCTTGAAAAAATGCATCTAAGCAGGGTTGAGTTGACTCCGCTGCAAACCCCCCTGGCTGGATTTACTGGGGATTGCATTGACGTCGATGGGATGATTATTTTGCCATTGGAGATCGGGGACGATCAGCACCGGGCGGCAATCCACATGACGTTCATCGTCGCCAACCTCAAGTGCGCTCACAATGCCATCCTTGGCAGACCAGGTTTGGAGGTCCTCAAAGCGATTTGTTCCATGCGGCACTCTTACATCAAATACCCCACAGAGACAGGGGTGGGGGTGGCCCTCATAGACCCACACACTGTCAGGGCTTGTTACAAGGAGGCCATGAAGAAAGTAAACGATTGCAACATGCGGGTCAACAGCATAGCAGAAACCGTGCAGCGGGCAGACGTTATATCCCGTCCTGAGCCGGCGACGCAGCTGGAGGAGGTCGAGTTGGATGATCCCTCGGATACGAAGGTGTCCATTGGCGCAGACCTGGATTCCAAGATCTGTGAGGGAGTGCTCGTCGTCCTACAGAGGTGCGAAAACAGGGGACACACCGGCAGAGAGGAAGAAGTTCGCAAAGGCCCTTTATGTGGGTGCCATATCCACACCACCGACTAAGAAGCATAATGTCGAGCATATCACCTTTGGGCCAGCAAACCTACTCAGCTCCCCAGGTCCACACATGGATGAGCTGGTTATCGGCATGGGCATCAACGACGCCATTGTTCTGCAGGTCCTGATGGATAATGGCAGCAGCGTGAACGTCCTATACCGGGACGTTTTCGAAAAAATGCATCTGAGCAGGGTTGAGTTGACTCCGTTGTGAACCCCCCTGGATGGATTTACTGGGGATTGCATTGACACCGAGGGGACGATTACCTTTCCACTGGAGATCGGGGACGATCAGCACCAGGCGGCAATCCACATGACATTCGTCATCATCTGCCTAAAGTGCGCTCACAACGCCATCCTTGGCAGCCAAGTTTGGAGGTCCTCAAAGCGATTTGTTCTGTGCGGCACTCTTGCATCAAATACCCCACATAGACAGGGGTGGGGGGTGACCCGCATGGACCCACACACTATCAGGGCTTGCTACAAGGAGGCCATGCAGAAAGTAAACGACTGCGACATGCGGGTCAACAGCATAGTAGAAACCGTGTGGCGGGCGGACGTTTTATCCCGCCCTGAGCCGGCGACGCAGCTGGAGGAGGTCGAGTTGGATGATCCCTCGGATAGGAAGGTG